AAGGATATTAAATTATAAATATATTAAAAACAAAATCAAATACTTAATAAAAGAAAAAGATTACTTTAACTTTGAAAATATATAAGAATTTAAGAAAAAGATTAAATATCTAAAAAAGTTTAAGAAATTTTGTTAATAAAATCCGGATTTATTTAAAAGAAAAATGAATTCATTATTTTTATAAAAAGAATCAAAAAATCGAAATCATTTATAAGAATTTCATTAGAATTAATAAGATCAATTAATAATTAATCAAATCGATCAAATTGATCAAAACTTAATTGATTAAATTAATCAAATTGATTAAAGAGATTAAAGGAAATAATAAATATAAAAATATAACAATTTCTTATTCCTTTTTTTTTTTTAAAAAAATATTGAATTTATCTATGAAATTCAATCTAATTATAATTATCTTTTATTTTCATTTATAAAGAAACTTTTATTGTTTATTAAAACAAAATATTTTTGATATCATTTTATTCTTTTCAATATCTATATATTTAATTTGAGTATCGATAACTTTTAATCAAAACAAAGAATATTTTATTTAATTTACAAATATTATATAATTTATTAAAAATAATATAACAATTATAATAACAATATTTAATATTACAAAAAGAAATATATTTGATATTAATACTTTTATATCGAATATAAAGAATTATCTTTTTTTTAATTAAATTGATTTCTTATTCAAAAGTTTTTTAATCGATATAAGATTGAAAACAAATAAATAATATAATAAAAAAGAAGTATTTGAGATAAATTATATAAAAAATAATATTTCTTTTCAAACTTTATAAACAATCAAAAATGATATTTAATCAAAATAAAGATAATATTATAATTTATAATTTTGATTATAATAATATTATTAATATCAATGATTTATATATTAATTATAAAAAAAATATAATTTAATTATTGCTTTTAAAGGTTTTGATTATTTAAATCTAGAACTTTAGAATTCCTAAGATAAATATCTTAAATAATTATAATAAAATAAAATAAATATTTTATTTAATTAATAATAATAGAATTATTATTTTAAAAAATATTATATTTTAAAATTATAATTCTTAAAAGGAAAACTTTTAAGATAATTATTCTAAAAAAAGAAAAACTTTAGAATATAAAAAACTTCAAAATCAATTATATAATATACTAGCTTTATTAATCAACTAACAAAACTAGTATCATAAAAATATTAATTATATTAACTAATTAATATAATTAATATATAAAAAAAGGATTAATATATAATTAAAATAGTTTTATAATTTAAGAATTTTGTATTTAATTTAATTATCAATTAATTTATTTATATTCTAATTGATTTAATAATATATTCATCTTCGAATAAATAATTAATAATTATTAATTTTAATTTACAACTATCAATTATACAAAACCCAAGGCAGCCGTTGTCTTAACTAGATTGTTATAATTCTTTGATAAAAAGATTCAATTATTTCTATTAATATTTATTTATATTTAATAATCAATAGAGTATAATAAATAATAATTCTATTAGTTTTATTTTAAAATCTTGATAATAATCTTAGTTTAATACTTCTTTATTATCTTTATTAATTCTTTGTTAGATATAATAAGTTTTGATTTGTAATAAGATTTCTTATACTTTTTTAATTTCTAAATTATATTTATTATATTTTTATACTTTATTAAAAGATAAAGAATTTATATTTATAATATATTTTCTAATATTATTTACCTCAATATTTTCTTTAAATATTATACAATAAGTATTATTGTAAATTATTATATAAAATACTAATAAAATAAAATAATTACAAGTTTTATATTTTTCAATGAAATTAAATTTCTTCTTTTTATAATAGTATTATATTTATTTCTTATCTAAATAATTAATTAAATATTATAATTCATTTTTTTGAAATAAATAATAAAATTCAATTAATAATTCATTTTTTTTTAGTTTTTTAATTAATTCTTTGTTTTTTAATTCGAGGTTTTTTAAAGATTTTTTTTTGTAATTAATATTATTTTTAATATTGATTTTAGAGTTTTAATTATTAATATTTAATTTTTTTTAATTGTTTGGGATTGAATTAAGATAAATCTTTTTCCAATAATTCTATTTCTTTTGAATTTTTTTCTAAGATCTTTGTTTTTCAAGAATCTTATCTTTTATTCCCAAATTTTATTTATTTCTTGTTTTTTGTAATGAATAGTTTCTTCTTTTGAAAATATTCTTAGGATATATATCTATTTTTCCTATAAATATAATATAAATTATTCTTTTTATATTTCTTCTTTTCATTAATATTTAAATTGTTTGATTTTATATAATATTGTTCAATATTATTTAATTTCATTAGATTACCAATATTATAATATCTGTTTTGATAATAAGGTTTTTGGAACTTTTTGTTTTTCTAAATAATTCCTTTTTTTTCTATTTATTATTTATAAAATCAATTATTAATAAGAATAAAGGTTTCAATTAATTTAAAAAGATTAAATAATTTTAAAGTTTTTATTAATTTATTCTTGATAATATTTTTCAATTTTTTATAGAATTGTAATTTTATATAATCATTATTTTATATAATATATTTAATATATTATTGAAATTTGGTAATATAAGTTATAATTGATTTAATTTGTTTAAGTTGTTGTAATACTTTTTTAATTATATAAACAAAATCTATTTCTTTGAATGTTTTATTAAATCTTTATTTGAACGATTTGTAATTGAGAAAGAGATAATAAATTTTAGATTTTATACTTGTATTTAATTGATTATTGATAGTCTTAATTATTAAATTATTGAAAAATAATTCGATTCAATTGAATATAATTCCTTGAAAAAAAAAAGATCAATTATAAGATTCTTTATATAAAAGTTAAGAAAAGTTGTTTGTTAAAGATATAATAAAGATTAGTTTATATAATAAAAGTTCGATGTTTATTACAATCTCTATAAAATAAATTAGAGGTGGATATTTTAATTATTTGTTTGTATTTTATAATAATAATGATTTGAATAAAGACCCTGATTAGATTAAATGAAAATGATTTAATTATCACGATTTACAATTAAGATAAAAATATGTTAAAGGGCAGTAGTCAATGTGTCTATATAAGCTTAGGTCTTATTGAAAAGCAAGGTGATTTGTATACAAATTTATATAATAATCGCTTTATATAGTCTCTTTATTTTTAATAAGCTCGGATATATAGTTTGATTTTAATTATATGATAAGGAGTTTTGGAAGCTTTGAAAGCTCTTAGAGCTTCAAAAGCTTTTTGAAGTTTTAAAACTTTATGAAGATTTTTTTCATTTATTAGTATATAATCAAAATAATTTTATAGTTTAAAAACTTTGTATTTAATTTAGTTATCAATTAGTTTACTTATATTTCAATTGATTTAGTAATGTATTCATTTTCGAGTGAATAACCAGTGATTATTAGTCTTAACTTATAATTATCAATCAGATGAAAACCTGAGGCAGTCGCTGTCTTTAATCAGATCGTTATATTAATAAGTTGTTAATTAGAAACTATTATATTATATATAATTTAATTATAACAGTATTCAAAATATAATGATTTAATCAAAATAATAATTACTTCGAGATTTCATATAATTGATAATTATAAGTTAAGGCTAATAATTACTAGTTATCTATTTAAAAATAAATATATTATTAGATTAATTAGAATACAAATAAATTAATTGATAATTAAATTGAATATAAAGTTTCTAAATTATAAAACTATTTTGATTATATATTAATTTTTTTCTTGTATATTAATTATATTAATTGATTAATATAATTGGTATTCTTATGATATTAATTTTGTTAACTGATTAATAAAGCTAGTATATTATATAATTGATTCTGAGGTTTTTTATATTCTAAGGCTTTTCTTTTTCTGGAATATTTGTTTTAGAAGCTTTTTTTTCAGAAATTATAATTTTAGGATACGATATTCTTTAAAGTGATAATTCTATTATAATTAATTAAATAGAATATTTATTTTATTCTATAAGGGTTGTTTAGGATATTTATCTTAGAAATCCTGAGGTTCTAGACTTAGATAATCAGGACCTCCAAAAGCAATAATTAAATCACACCTCTCTTGTAATCAGTATATAAATCATCAATATTAATAATATTATTATAATCAAAACTGTAAATCGTGACACTTAAATCTATATTAAATAAGTTTATAATTTATAATTATCAATTTATCAATATTATTATCGATTTGTCGATATTATAATCTTATTATATATAAGATTTATTCAATAGATAATAAAAAATAAAAAACTTATTTAAATAAATCACAATCCTGATAATCTAATTGGTCTGAAATACCCCGGTAAATACCCTGATAAATAATCAAACAAAAAACTTGATATAGGTTTTATAATCTTAAACAAATTTAACTTGAAGCTTTTTTCAACTTTATTAAAATCATTCAACTTCAAAATTATTCAATTCAATTTTGTTTATTTATTTAATTTAACTTTATTTATTTAATTTATCTCATTCAATTTATAATAATAATATTTATAATAACAATATTTAATTTTTAATTATCAAAAACAAATTGATATTTTATCTATACTTTAATATATATATTCAATATTTAAATTTATTATAAACTTTTTAAAACTTAAATTTTTACTAGACTTTCTTGAAAAGCCAGGGGTCCGGGGGGCGCAGGCCCCTGGTAATTTTTGAGGTTATAAAATGTATACAAGATATAAAGATATTAGTTAATTGATTGCCCTCATTTCCGAATGACATCAAGCTAATCCCAAAATAAGTATAGCCCTACATTTATCCGAGAAACCTTATTCCGAAATAGACTTAGTGTTGTATGTAGTTACTGAGTCAATACGGTATATAGATTGTGAAATTCAAGGAAAAGCTACCTATCTAGCAAGATCATAGTATACAATACGAATATTGGATCATGTTGTCACATTATAAACAAGTAAACTCAAACTCTATTATATTTTACTTTGTATAGATATTATACTGAAACCCAGGAGTACTGCAAATATATACTGGCGGGTATCGTGTCTTATGGAAAAGCAAAATATCCAGATATATTACACCACTACCGCTACTCCAATACAAAATGAAACGAATATATCATAACGCTGTACCTTCCTACAATCATGATTGCCAGCCTTTCAGTAAATGATCGCTGGCAATCCCATTATGACCCGTTACCCCCTAAATCAGACACAAGAATGAAGGAAATAAACTCCAGTTTTGACGCCCACGCAAATAAAGTAATACCCATGACGTTCTTACTCGTGATCGTACATCGTTAATCAACTTCTTCGTTGACAGCTTCCAGCTTCCAGCTTCCAGTCAAACCCATCTCAATTCTGAATCAAGCAGCACTAAACCTCTTGTTTTTCACCTCTCCACTTGGACGTTTCTTTAATGCAATAAATGTCTTAACCCTCCTCAATCTTGCCATCAAATCCTTATCTTTCGCATCCCTGATACTCTTCGCATCTTCATCATCTGCAAAATCGTGTGCTAAATCATTACCATCCTCACCACTAGCTTCATTCATCGTAGGTGCAATATAACTCCTCCTCGATCCCTTTTCATTCTTTTCTCTGCCTGCTCTCAGTCCATGCTCACTCTTCAACACGCGTAACACGACTTCCCATCCGGCAAGTTCTCTTGATTTTGAGCTCTGCGTCGCAGCAAGACCGTTTTGTGATACGGGGTTACGCCAGGGGCAATATTCGCGATGTTGGGCGATAGGATCGAGACCGGAGACGATAGCTGGTTCAGTTTCTTTACCTGTGGCAGAAATGGATTTGCTTTTAAACATCCAAAGACCAAGAATTCGATAACATGTTTGACATGAGACAGATTCGAGTTGATGACCAAGGCGATCATGTTTGTGACCTTGCCAACCACAAAGGGACATCATTAAAGCCACTTTATTGATTTCGCTTTGAGTATTCGTTTGCGCTTCAGGAGATGATTTAAGGAAATCTCGGGGAAGGTAGGTTATTACGCGATCGATATCGAGGCCTTCTGGAGGTGTCATATTAGAAAGGTATGGTAAATGTTCCGCTCTTTGTTGAAGCTCATCATAACGTTCGCGAAGGGTTTGTATGGTGACTGCAGGTTTATTGAGGGGAAGCTTGAATATGACATCTGCGACATAGTTAATAATAGCGAGAGAATGAACCTAATCCAAAACGACATACCATCGCATCCTCTCTGTCTCCAGGGACAACTCTCATCATGCGAAGTGACAATAAGTTCAACATATTTATCAATCAACGCGTTTTCTACTGAATTAGTTAGTACTTCATCACTGATAGATGCGCGATTGATGCCCTCACCAATATTTTCCGCAATATAAACTTCCTTCTCTTTTCCATCCTCTTCCTTCTTATTCAATTTGACCAAAATCTCCACATTACAGAAACAACATCTAACGCGCTCCTTCTTTTGACAAACCCATCCTCTCTTCGCCCATTCCACTTCATTAACCCTTGCCGGCTTTGGCGTCCAATCGGTTAGATTCGAGAAAGATTTTAATCTCTTGAGAAATTCAGCGCGATCATATGGCGCCCATTTAGGAGGTTCCGAATGCGAAACTGGAGTCGCAGAGAGTTTATAGACCGGCGCCAGTTTCTGACGAGCACTATCGAATTCAGAAGGAGCCGCCGATGATGCGCGAGTTAATGAAGGCAATCGATTAAGGCTTGAAGATGAATAAGAGATCCGCGGCTTCTTCATATTTGAATCTGTGTCGTTTTGAGGTTTGTCCGGAGTTTTGTTTACTTCGTGTGCCGATAGGGAGGAATCGGATTTTTTGTTTCCCAAGCCATTAAGAAGGGCATTGAATTTCCTTTTCGTTGTATTCATTGTCGGCGGCTGAGATGGTGACACTAATAAGTGACACTCTCGTTGTGCCGTAAATTCAACTTTTTGTTGATGGAGATGATAAGTAAGAGGTTCTCTTTTATTTACGGCGGCGGTTAATTGGTTTAGTACTGTACTTGCTATTGACTTACTCATGATGAAAGACTGCTCTGCTTCCTGCTCCTGCCCTACCCCTTGTCGCAGGTTCTGGTCCGTGCCAGGCTTGTCACCCTGCTTCACTCCGCAGTAGCTTCGAAACTTTCCTGTCCTGCTTCTTGCTTGCGTACTTCAGAAACCCCACCAAGAAAATTGGGACAAGAACAAAGAGATTCAATACCCCTCGATTAGCTTTGGAGTTCATCTAAGTTTTCCTCTAAGAGTTCCTCCTGCATATAATTAATTCATGTCAAAGACTTCAAGAAAAACTAAAAACTACTCAAACTCCAACTACCTATCACCAAGAAGAATCTTACTTGTATCTTTCTTGATAGTCATACTGGCTTTCATTATAAATAAATTTTTACCTCGTCTTTTCCTTATATCTCATCATTTTTCTCCTACCAAACTATCTACAACTTCAAATCCCAAGATGTCTAATTACAGTAAGGAATTGGAGGTGGCTCAATTAGCCGTCCAAAGAGCAGCTATTTTAACCAAGAAGGTTTTCCATGAAAAATCCAAAGGAACATTATCCAAAGACGACAAATCACCTGTTACAATTGGTGATTTCGGTGCTCAAGCTTTGATCATCCAAGCTATCAAGAAGAACTTCCCTAATGACGAGGTTGTAGGTGAAGAGGAAGCTAGCGATTTGAGAGAGAATGCTAAATTGAGAGATCAAATTTGGGAATTGGTTGAAGCTTCCAAACTTTCTGATCCAGAGGCTGAGAAGGTTTTGGGTGGTCCAGTCGAGAGTGTAGATGCTATGCTTGATGCTATCGATGCAGGAAACAGTGCTGGTGGAGCTAAAGGAAGAATTTGGGCTTTGGATCCCATTGATGGAACTAAGGGATTCTTGAGAGGTGGTCAATATGCTGTTTGCTTAGCACTGATGGTTGATGGAGATGTCAAAGTTGGTGTTCTTGGATGTCCTAATCTTCCAGTTGATGATTCCGCACCATTATCAGCTGACGCTGGCAAGGATGCATCAGATGAGGAAGGAAAAGGTGTTCTTTTCTCAGCAGTATTGGGTCAAGGTGCTACGAGTCGACCATTGGGTACTGGAGCATTAGCAAAAGGTCAATCTATTCAAATGAAGCCAGTTACGGATTTAAGTCAAGCTACATTCTGTGAAAGTGTTGAGGCAGGCCATTCTTCCCATGGCGATCAACATGCTATTGCTACCAAATTGGGTGTTACCAAGGCTAGTGTCCGAATGGATTCACAAGCTAAATATGGATCGATTGCTAGAGGTGCTGGAGACATTTACCTTAGACTCCCCGTTAGTGCGACTTACCAAGAGAAGATCTGGGACCACGCCGCTGGAGATCTTATTGTACGCGAGGCAGGTGGACAGGTTACTGATTCTCTCGGACGAAGATTGGATTTCAGCAAGGGAAGAACTTTGGCTGAAAACAAGGGTGTCGTTGCAGCTCCTGCAGCCATTCACGGCCACGTTTTGGAGGTAGTTAAGGAGGTTTTGGCGGCCAAGAAATAAATTGTTCATATATATTCGTCACAAATAAAAGACATGATACCTTTTTTCCATCTTTACATCAACCGTAGATAAGTCTACAATAGATACAAGTGACATTATCTCTATACAGATTATTTGGATATTCATCCCCTACTTAATCTTCTTATTCTTCAACTTAATCTCCTCCCCGTTGACAAAGATTCCCTTCCCCTTATACGGTTCTGGAACTCTCCACTTTCTAATTTGAGCCGCAAAAAGTAATACGAATTCCTTCTCTGGTCCTTCTAACAATATACGTGTAGGTTGTGGTGTACTCGCCTTCACGAATCTTGGAACGGGTAATTCGATGGGATGAGAGTATCCTACTTTTAAGACAACGAATTGCTGGCCTTCGAATTCGGGGGTTTTGGTTGTTACGTTGGAAGCTGGCTCAACAGTGGCACGGTATCCAACACCGACTAGACGGAGAATAGCACTGTGACCTTCGGAGACACCGAGGATGTGGTTTTGGAGATAGGCGCGAGTAGTTCCTTTAAGGAAATTGTTAGGTCATAAAAGTATACTGAAAATTGCAGAAGGGGTAAATGCTTACCCCACATCGCCCTTTGGCTTTTGACTTCTCTATCCTCCACTCTGACAATTGCTCTCCGTGTATTCACATCATGCTCGATTTTAATAAATGGTTCGATTGACATTGTCATTTTTCCTAATGGCCCCTCAATCTTAACAATTGATTTCCCTGCCAAGGCTGATCCTTTCGCCGGCGGCGGTGGTGGGATAACTGTAAAAGTAACCTCTGGGGGAATCGATAACGGTGCGCTTCCAATGTGGGAGTTTCGACATGTTGATGCGGAGAAGGATCGTGAGGCGATGGGAAAGGCGGGTAGAAGGAATGAAAGGATTGAGACGGGAGGCGTGGCGGTAAGGATCTGGGTTAGACCTTTGGATCGAGCGGTGGACAACATGATGGGCGAATTGCTGCTGGTTTGTTGTTAGGGTCGCCGTCGATAGAATTTGAGGTCGGGTTAAATGTGGTTAGCGTGGATTTTGTTCATGCACGTGCTTTCGTGAATTTTGAAGTGAGTTTCCGACTCGGAATTTGGACGCGTAAATATTGCATGATGGTGAATTGTCAAGAGTTATAGTTCTACCCCGAGGAAATGGACAAGCTCCCTGCCAAAATCACATCCCCGAAGTCATGCACAGATTTGTTTCTCAGAATCTCAAGGTAAAAACTAGCAAGTAGTCCAACGTCTTCAAGTATATAACAATTACATATCACTTTAGGAAGGAACAAGAACACCAGTTCAGATTCACCATCTTTTTCATATCTTATATTCACTTACCCTAGATCTGTTGATGATCTGTATCTGCGACGACGACGATGATAGCGTCTTCTACCTCAGTTTTCTCGATTTCTTCTGACCTCACCTTTTCTCTTCAACCTTCTTATCTTCAATTTTTCAGCAATACCAATCTTTTTCAGCTCCAGTTAACTTTCCCTTTCTCAAAGACTTCAATATATCTATTGCTAATTTCTATCTTCTATTAAATTTATCTCCAGTTCCTTCAAATTAAGACGTACCAACCATCAGGTTATCTACCGTTTTCTAACATCTACCTTGCTTCTGAGACGCGATCCAAAGTTATCTCTGGCGCATACTCAATAGAAATTAAATATTCTCACAAGGCGACCCAGCCTTCAATATGCTATTTCTCAGACTCTTCCTTCTGACGACCTGGTCAATATCAATATCTGCTTTTGGATGGAAAGCCAAAGTAACAGATGACTCCACTCCTGGTGAGCGGCACATTGAAAGAAACCAGAATCAGAATAGTAGGATAGAGCTGGCAAATGCTCGATCTCGAACCAATGAACTATATTCCAGCGCAATGCTCGAGCTCAAGAGACTAGAGGAAGAGCCGATTTGCCACCGAGTGGCTGCACAGCTACTCATGAGTAATTGTGAAGGTCTGGAGGATATCAATCAAAAAGAGTATGACCTTTACAGTGGGCGTATTCAAAGACATTATGTGGAGAGCTTGGCTGCAAGTCTGGCAATTTGTGATATGGAACGAAGTAGTATGGTCGTCCCTGATTCTTGCGAGTCTTTCAGGCTACCGTCTTTACTCCGTGCTTCTCAGGAAGCAGACGGAAAATTACAGGTATCACAAAATGAGGTCGGTGCCTGCTTGAAGGGATTGGGCAAAGATCCCTCCCATTGGTTGAGTTGGACCAGTTATAGGGACAATTGTCTTTTGATCTGTCAAGCTGCTCGATCCGATATCGACAAAGGTAAGTCATCAGTTTATCTACGAGGAAGCGTCTAATTATTCCCAGATCAATCGATTCTTCTACAGAAAAAACTTGTGGAAATCATGAGACAATTTGCGGAGGACCTCGAAGATGACCTCCAAGATCTCAAGCGAAATATGGCGGATCATGCAAGAGCAGCAGGTTCCTACTTTGAAGAAGTCATGATGCGGACTGAGATACTAAAGACCAAGGTTGAAGGTGCATTCGAGGTCATTTCATCCGAGGCATTGGTAAATTACATTTCCCAGCCATAACAGGTACTCCAATAGTAACATGTATGTCCAGGATGTTGCGAGCACTCTACGGTCAATACTGGGTAGTACTGGCGATATTCAACGAGTTATGAAGAATGTTGTCGATACTATACTCCAAAGCAATGCAGAGATGGCTGCTGCACAAGAACGGGCTCTTGTGGCCACATCTGGTACTGCGAAATCACGCTTGGAAGACATCAATGCACTGGCAGAAAATGCCGAATCGTCGTTTGAGAGATTGTCTTATGCAATCGTAAGTTACTCCGGACCCTTTTAACGTAACATGACTAATTATCTCTTAGGATCTTTTGATTCCCGTGATCACTTCTATGAGTGATAGACAAGATAATTTGGATCAGGTACGGTTTTCGAATTAAAACCCCTAAGATGAAACTGATGTTTGCAGAGGTTCGAAGCACTTAGCGATGTTGTCGTCAATATGACCACCTTGATTCAGGATCATTCGGAGAGTCTTGAACAAGCCAGCTTTACCGCAACAGGTATTCGAGAGAGTCTTGGGAAAGCAGCCGAGGCCGCGAATTCATGGAATGGAATCATGGGTATGGGTGAACCATTTGTTAACAATGCTCTTCGAATATTGTCTCCCCCAGTTACCCTCTTTTTTGGAAGTCATGGTCTTCCGCCATCTTTGTTTCGCAATTTTGGTCTCTTCGTCGGAGGTATGTTTTTGCTTTTCAAATTCATACAACACATGCTAACAGGATTAGGTTGGGCAGTGGCAGAAACCACGATACAGTTACGCCAAATTGAGCACTGGATTCCACGAATTCAAAGATCTAGGGCATCAACGCAACTGGCAAGAGACAAAGTACTACAGGAGGAAGCACAAATAACTTTTAGCACTTCCTCATTACATAATGAAACCGGTTCAATCAAAAAAGCTCACACGCACGATGTGAGGTAGAGATGACGGTTTACATGACTTTTAAATTTATTCACCAACGCAAATGGACTCTTTAGGCCATCTCTAACGACAAAATTATTAATCTTAGCAAGAGGGACAACAGGATCTCTCAAATTTACGACTACCATGCGGTCAACGAAAATATGGATGAAATGGGTAACAAGATATCACTATTTATTGAACAGTAACTAATTTTGAAGGGCTTTGCATTTGCTGGGGGAATATCATATTGCTTGCTGAAGGGTATGGAGCTACAGTGAATCAAACATAGGGGGTACATACTGGCACGTATATCTTTAGGTCCGAAAAGCCAGCCTGGCTTCGATGTTTGAAGCAATCCACAGGTGATAATTAACAGCAACATATGGGAACAGGAACATATCTGTAAATAGAAAATATTATTTAGGTCGACCTTTCAGGGGTTCAGAGCTTTCTGCAAAATACTTTATAAATTGATTGCTGTGAAGTCGGTGAAGACAAAGAAGCTTTGATATGAAGCTTTTCCAAAGAAAACCCCCTATCCAATTAATTACTTCAGCCAATTGCTTTTTGCGGTGACATGAAAAACGATAATGCAAGCAGGTTATTGATTGCTAGCAAACGGTTGGGATCAGGTTGAACCTGCTGTTACCCAATCATATAGTATGTTTGTTTCCCCAATTGCAACAGATGTATATAGGTAGATTTATAATTTTTTGGTTGCAATAAATAATTATCTTTCCATGTCTACTCCGTATATATATAAACAGTGAATCTTTATTCATCATCTTCTCACAAGGTCATCCATCATCTGTTCAAGTACGGCTTAATTTCGTTTGAGACGGGGCCATATTGGGTGGGTCCATGCAATCGGCCGCAGGGGCAAGTCCCCTCTAAAATTTAACTGCTTCTCTTCTAGAAGTCAACAAGCTCAATACCGGAACCCTTTAATTTCCCTCCTGGTTCCCCGAACTCTCACCAACTTGCATGATCGGTTCTTTATTAAGCCTTGCACATCATATTCTGATACTTACTTTCTTTTACGCAAAGTTCATAAATCCATCTGTTAATTGTTGGAGATACTTGAGGGAAACGCAAGCAAGGAGTTGGCAGAGGAGAGCAGAGACATAGATTCAGGTCAGTTGTTTTTGATAGCAAGCCCAATCCCAAACGAAAGCCCAAATCGCGTATGGAGTTCTGAAGCTTGCGCAATTTGGGACACCATTACCAGATAGCTGTGCTCCCAATTGCGCTGAGATTGAACACGTCGTAAGTTTCGGATCACATTGAGCTTTTTGGTGTATCTTTTGTTTGGCAAATTCAATCTTTTGCGCTACCACATGAGATTTAGACCTTTCCATTGATCAGTTATATGTTACATGTCGCGCTGTTTGGTGGAGTACATATGCACATGTGAGGCTAGGAAGATTGGGCTGGGGAAATGGACGTTGGTGAATCACACATGAATATCGCTAACATATAAATTTTTACAACTATAGTCGCAACTATTAGTCCTCCGTTATACAATCTCTTTCCTCCTCAATCATTGTCAACATGGCGGACGTCGAGATCCCAATTATTCCCCAAGAGAGTCATAAGCCAGGAGAAATATCTGCAGACTTATTAGACGATACTCCTATTACCCCTGTCGAAGCTTCCGCTGAAGGCACGGCAGATGCTGTACCAGACGAAAATGCCGGAGCAGCATCGGAAGTAGATACCGAGACGGAGAGGGAATCTGTCAAGAGCGCAGATACAGAGAAGACCACATCGGGATCTCCAAATGGTGTTAAAAAGGAAAATGCAGCTCCCAGAAGAGCTGGTTCGTCAGCGGCACCAAGACGTCCAATTTCAGGGAGTGCAACCAGGCCCACCGCTTCTTCCGCGGTCAAGCCCACTTCTTCATCCACTACAAAACCTACTGGAGGCTTAAGCAAACCTCCAACACGCCCAGGAAGTGCAGCTGTTGTGCGAAAGCCTACAAGCAGTGCAACATCTTCCATCACCAGTCATAGAGCTCCCTCCGCCGCTGGAACTCATGCAGATGAGAAGAAATCTACCACAGCCCCTGCACGACGGGTCTCTCTTGCACCAAGCCATACAAATACTTCGAAGACTCCTGGAACAGCTGCAGAAGCTCGGGCCAGACCTGCCTCGATGCATAATACTGCCACCACCACAACAACAACTGCGAGAAAGCCTGTTGCATCAGCGCCAGCAGCTGGCCAGACTAGTCCAAAGGCTGCAAAGCCTGCTAGCACAACTGCCCCAAAGCCAGCACCTGCCTCGAGGTGAGTTCTTTTATATCTTGCTTTTAGGTGTTTACGACCACTCAATACTAACATGTAATTAGCACTACTACTACAGCTCGTCCAGTACATTCTTCCAAGCCTTCAATTAGCGCTCTTAGCAGTGGCGGTGCAGTTTCGGAAGCTAGAAAACGTCTTAATGCTCTTCAAGGAGGCGGACCGGTTCATCCACCGCCAAAGCCATCCGCATTGTCATCCGCTCGTTCAGTCAGTGGGGCACCACCTTCAACTGCAGCTGCATCCACGAAGGAAGTCGAAGAGTTGAAGAAGCAATTAGTGGACAGCGAATCCAAGGTTGAAGAATTAAAGAAAGAAATTAGTTCGTCACAAGAGAAACTTCTTGAACTTGGCAAGGCAGCAGAAGAAGAATCGAAGCGTATTTCAGATGCTGAGGGAGCCATTCGGGCAACGCACAGCGAACTTGTCGAGAAACTTAATGCCGACCACAACGCTATCTTGGAGAGTTTACAGGCCCAGTTGGTAGAAGCCGAGAATGCTAAAGCAGCAGCTCAGGAAGCTTCTTTGGCGGCTATCGAAGGGGCAAAAGAAGCTGCATCTTCGGAGGGAGCCACCGAACATGCTGAAGCGTTGGAAAAGTTGAAGGCTGAACATGGTGCTGCTTTGGATGCACTAAATGCACAGTTGGCAGCCGCCAAGGAAATTAATACTGCCGAGCATGCTAAAGCTTTAGAGGCCGTCAATGCCGAATTAGCTGCGGCCAAGGAGGCAAATTCCGGCGCTATCGCTGCCGCTGCCGAGAAGGAGGCCGAGATTATGGATTTGAAAGTTCAACTCGAGAAAGCCATCGCAGAGTGTGCAGCCGCAGTTGAGTCACTGAGAGCTTTGCAAGCCGAGCATGATGAGAGAGTCAAGGCCTTGGAGTCAGATTTCGAATCTAAAGTTAGTGCTCATGCAGACTCTCTGGAAGAGTTGAAGAAGACTTTGGCTGAGGAGCACAATGCTGCTGTGGAGGCATTGAAGATTGCCCATTCCGAGGAAATTGCAAAGGGAAACACCGATGCTTCATCCACCTACGAAACTCAAATCGCTGAGTTGACCACTAAGCATGAACAGAACCTAGCCACCATTCAAAAACAGCTCAACACCCAAGCTGACGAGCATGCGAGCGCTCTGGAGGAGTTGAAGAAAACTTTGACGGAAGAGCACAATGTCGCTCTTGATGCACTGAAGTCCGCTCACTCGGAGGAGCTTGCGAAGGGTAATACCAATGCCTCTTCGACCTATGAGACCCAGATTGCTGAATGGACTGCAAAATACGAGCATAGCTTGGCTACCGTTCAAAAACAACTTGACGATGTTCTCGAGGCTCAAAAGGCTTTGGAATCTGCTCATGCTGAGAAGGTATCAAGCTTGGAAGGCGAGGTTTCAAGTCTAAAAGAGAGTTTTGAAAAGACTTCCATAGCATTGGCAGCATCGGAGAAGGAAATCTCAGAAGCTAAGGCTGAGGCTGAGTCCGCCAAGAAAGAACTTGCTTCCGCTCAAGTGGAAGTTGCTCAATTGACTGAAAAATTGGATGGCTTGCAATCTAATGGTACTGAGTCCGAATCCGCTTTAACGGCTGCCAAGGAAGAATTGGAAAAGTCCAAGGAGGAAGTCATTGCACTTCAAAAGGCTTTGGAGCAACTTGGTTCTGATGGAAAAGACAAGGATGAGTTACATAGTAAGATCCAGGCGGAGCTTGCAACAACTGCCCAGTCATTGGATGAGAAGACCAAGGAAATCTCCACACTTTTGGAGAAACACGCACTGGAAACCTCGACACTTAATGAGAAGCACTTGAAAGAATTAGAGACCATTTCCAACGACTATCAAAAAGAAATTGATGCATTATCAGGAGACTCCGGTATCAGAGATGAATTTAATGTATTAAAGAGCAAGCATGAAGAACTTACCAAGGCCCATACCGAGATCTTGGAAGCTCATCAGCAGGAACTCGAGAAGGCAAAGCAATGCCACGCTGCAGCAATTGTTGAGCTCGATAACAATGATAAAGCTCACCAACGTGCATTAGAAGATTTGAAGACAAATCATGCCAAGGCATTGGATGAAGCACATGATAGAGCTATATCCGCTAGTCATTCTTCCCATTCTTCGGAACTACAACAGCTCGAACATAGTCATGCGGCTGCCATTGCTGAGTTGAAATCTGAGTACGAGAAAACCCATGCAAAGGCATTGGATGATGTACATGGCCAAGCAATTTCTGCTGCTCAAAAGGCCCATGAGCAGGAATTGGAGAAATTGATTCTTAGCCATGCTGAAGAGATCGCTACATTAAAGGCACAGCATGCTACAGCTCAATTAACCCACGATGAAACTATTGCCGCCTTGAAGGCAGAGCATGAAGCTAGTCTTGCTACTGCTTCGTCAGATTTCGAGAGTCAAAAGGTGCCCAAAAGGCTCATGAGGAAGAAATAGAGAGATTAATTCAAAGCCATACTGAGGACATCGCCGCATTAAAGGCTCAACATTCAACTGCTCAATCGAATCATGACGAAGCCATCGCCGCTTTGAGGGCAGAGCATGAAGCCAATCTTGCTACTGCTTCGTCAGATTTCGAGAGTCAAAAGGGTGCCCAAAAGGCTCATGAGGAAGAAATAGAGAGATTAATTCAAAGCCATATTGAGGACATCGCCGCATTAAAGGCTCAACATTCAACTGCTCAATCGAATCATGACGAAGCCATCGCCGCTTTGAGGGCAGAGCATGAAGCCAATCTTGCTACTGCTTCAACAAATCTTGAAAGTCAAAAGAGTGCTCAACAAGCTCATGAACAGGAATTTGAGAGATTGATTCAAAGTCATGCCGAAGATATTGCCGCTCTGAGGGCGGAGCATGAAGCCAATCTTGCTACTGCTTCAACAAATCTTGAAAGTCAAAAGAGTGCTCAACAAGCTCATGAACAGGAATTGGAGAAATTGATTCAAAATCATACTGAAGATATTGCCGCCTTGAAAGCACAACATACGACTGCTCAATCATCGCACGACGAAATAATTGCCGCTTTGAGAGCTCAACATGCGACTGCTCAGTCAACTCAAGACGAAGTTATTGCCGCTTTGAAAGCAGATTTTGAAACTAGTCATGCCACCGCTTCATCGGATCTCGAGAGACAAAAGGCCGTAGAGGCTGAGTTACAAGCTGAGATTACTAGATCCAAACAATCTTTACATTCAGCACAAGATGAGTTGGAAGCTCTTAAGCAAGACTTGGCTGTGGAGAAGATTGCAAAGGCTAACGCTGAAGCTGATTTGGATGCTGCAAGAAACGTGAAGTTGGATACTTCTGAACTCGATGCTCTACGTCAAGAATTACAAGCTCTCAAGTCTCAACATGAAGCTGCTCTTGCATCAGCCAAACAAGAGTCGGCAATGGCCACCCAAGAGCTTGCAGCTAGTAAATCACAACTAGAAACAGAAAAGGCTGAACTTGAGAAAGAGAAGGCTGCTCTTGAACAAAAAGTCAAGACCAGCAAGGATGATTACAAAACCATGCACGAGTCTATGACGGAATTGCTTGAAGAGACTAGCAAAGATTGTGAAACACTCGATGCTCGTCTCAAGGAAACCGAAGCTCAACTTAAGGTCAAGGATGCTGAACTTGCAGAGGCAAAGGTATGAATTCAAATTTCATTAATATTATGTAGTTATATTAGTACTAGGTACTTGAGCTAATACCGTATGGTGAAAACAAAAAGACCAAGCTCCCAACTACATCCCCACCAAAAACACCAACATTTGGAGGAATTTTTTCTAGAGGATTCGCCGACACTGATGGTAAGGACTTTAATGGGACGGGTGAAAGCACAGATGCAGTAGCTACACCTGAAAGTGAGCATGATAATTCATCTGCGGCGTTAGCTTCGGTTGGCGAGCCTTTTTTCTAGTGCTTCTGTTGCCCTATCCTATTCTCTTTTTCTTATTTTTTTTTGGCACATACACAGGATCCTTTCCGATTCGTACACTGATACCTAATCTTTCCCTTCCGTACCAACTTCATCTGGATACTCATACAAATGATGGAAAAGAGACATTCGCTAACGTATCTCTTGAATTAATAGCTAGCAAAAGCTAGAGTTACCGTTGAACAATTAGAGAAGATGAATGAAGATTTGAAGAAAGATAATATGAGGTAGTTATTTCCCCCAAACCCAAACCCAAACAACCCGCTTTGTTGTCTCTCTTTCGCTTTCCCTCCCCTCTTCCTCTCTCTCAACGGGATTTGCTGCTTGCTTTTTAATTGCTATTACATTGGTATTGAAATTTGCGAAGTGTGAAATCTCGGCTGATGTTAGATTATTTTGCTCACGCATAGGTCATTAGAATCAATTTCAGACGTCTTTGGGCCAGCTCGTAATGAATAGGTCATGAGATAATTTTATCCTTCTTTTCGCTCAAAATATTTCATGAGCGATTGCCAAGTCATCTTTCCGGCAATTTTTGCGCATTATGTCTCAGCTCAACTTATGTCAACTTAATTTCACTCAGCTTTTTCAACGTATTTCATGTCGCCGATACTGTCAATCATGTTCCGACTGTTTAATTCGACTTTTTTTTAATGCATAATCTACGGTACTGCGTCTTTAGTTCATGGTGGCAACTGTGTCTTGACTTTGAAAAGTCTTTCTCTTGAGAGGAATCCACACTTACGCAATACCCGAAATACAAAACCTTTCTATACCCAATTTACTTTTTTCTGTTTTGCAATTTTTACTAGTTTCGGTTCTTACGTCTTGCATTTCTTGCTTGCATTGTTGAAATTGTTCACTTGTAGTGCGCAGAAATATTGATGGATGGATCTGGTATCGTCTTTCTTTTTCTTGACGTACTTTTTTTATAGGGATGGATGGATGATGGGACGGATGGTTGATAGATGGCTGGTATGGTTTGGTTCCGTATGAATGGTGAATTGTGAGAGAAGGAATAGATGGAAATTATATGTGAGGTGAGGTGAAGTGTGTTGAAGCTGTATATGTAGACTACATATTGTGATATAATGTATGGATGGATGGATGGATGATTGTAGGGGCTTAACTATCAAATAGTAATAAGAATAAGTTAATGATTTTATATTATCTAGTGTTTATTTATTAAGTTATAAAATAAATAAGTAAAGTATTAATAATATAAAGTTGATATATAAAAATTATATAAAAAATTAAATTATTAAATTGTTAAATATATATTTTATTGTCGGCTTGCCGACTCTATAACCTTGTTGTACGCGAGGTTTACCCGGTGGGTGATGGAAAATGAGGTTCGCTTAAGGTTGCGATTGTCACGAAATCATTTTATAGAGTGTTACGGGTAACAGTCAACCTGTCCTTATGAGTTTAGATCTTCCTGAAAAACAAAGCAACTTGTATACTAATTTGTATAACAATCATTTTATATAATCTCTCAATCTTTAATAAACTCAAATATATAATTTGATCTTAATTATATAATAAAGCCTTTAGAAATATAAATTCTTATAAGTTTCTTGAAATCTTTAAAAGTATAAATTTTTAAAAATTTCTAAAATAGATTAGTATATAATCAAAATAGTTTTATAATTTAGAAACTTCATATTCAATTTAATTATCAATTAATTTATTTATATTTCAATTGATTTAATAATGTATTTATTTTCGAATAGATAATTAATAATTATTAGTCTTAACCTACAACTATCAACTATACAAAACCTGAGGCAGCCGCTGCCTCAACCAGATCGTTACAGCGATATAATTGGTCGAGAAATGAGTCGCGATCCTGATAATCTGATTGGATTAAAATACCCCGGTAAAAAAATCTAACAAAAAGCTTGGCATAAGTCTTACAACCTTAGACAAATCTAACTTAAAGTTTTTTTTAATTCAATTCAATTAAAATCATTCAACTCTGAAATCATTTAATTCATCTCATTCAGCTTATAATAATAATAATAATAATAATATTTTATATTATTATTATAATTATTATTTTAAACTGAAAATTTTTAATTTTCAATTATTAAAAACAAACTGATATTTTATCTGCACCCTGATATATATTTAATATTTAAATTTATTATAAACTTTTTAAAACTTAAATTTTCATTAGACTTTCTCGAAAAGCCAGGGGTCCGGGGGGCGCAGGTGTCACGATTTACATTTTTCATTATAGTAGTATTATTGACGTCGGTGATTTATATGCCGACTACAGGGGGGGTGTGATTTAACCGTTGCTTTCGGGGGTCCTGATTACCTAAGCCTAGGACCCCAGGATTCCTAGGATAAGTATCCTAGGCAACCAGAGTAGAATAGGACAAGTGTCCTACCCAATTGATTGTAATGGGACTATCACCCTAGAGGATATCGTATCCTAGGGCTATGGTTCCTAGAGGGAAAGCTCCTGGGACAAGTGTTCCAGGAAAGGAAAGGCCTTGGGATATGAGAGGCCTCAGGATCAATCACGTGACGTGCTAGCTCTGCTAGCCCAGCTAGCATAGCTAGCATAGGAAAAGAGATTAGTATATAGTCAGAATAGTTTCATAGTTTAGGAGCTTCGTGCTCAACTTAGTTATCAATTAGTTTACCTACATTCCAATTGATTTAATAACGTATTCACCTTCGAGTGGATAACCAGTGATTATTAGCCTTAACCTACAACTACCAATCAGACGAAACCCTGAGGCAGCCGCTGCCTCAACCAGATCGTTACAAGAAGCTTTTTGGAGCTTTAAGGCTCCACAAAGCTCCTGTACATTCATTAGTATATAATCAGAATAGTTTCATAGTTTAGGAGCTTCGTACTCAACTTAGTTATCAATTAGTTTACCTACATTCCAATTGATTTAATAACGAATTCACTTTCAAATGAATAACTAGTGATTATTAGCCTTAACCTACAACTATCAACCATACGAAACCTCAGGCAGCCGCTGCCTCGACCAGATCGTTACAGCAGGCCCCTGGTATAATTCAAATTTTAATAAGTAAAATTTAAAAGTTTAAAAATTAAAAAATTATAATATTTTAATATATTATTATTTCTTTATTATTCAATCAAATTATATAAAATTTATATAGATTATAAAATGTATAAATAGATAATAATATAAAATTTTATTAAACTTTATTAAAGATTTAAAAAGTTATTAATATTTTTAATTTTGTTTATACTTCTTTAAAAATCTCGCCGAGTATAATAATAACTTTTTATCCGTGTTGTAAAATATATAATATTAGATTAGATAAAATTATAAGGAAGAGAAGGATTCATTAAGAGAACTTATTATTTATCGATGGGTGGTGGTGAATGGTAGGTGGGGGGGTGGTTCGAGTGGGGAGGCTTGAAGGCCTACGATTACTACCATATGCCGATGCTTTTGCTCGTGCAAGCCTTTAGGCACAATGCACCCGGCCCAATTCTGAACTTGAACGGTTTCAAAGTGTTCAGCCCTTACCCTTCCAGTACCTATATAAGCTTGGGATAGAGTTTTAAAATAGATAGTTAGACGGTAATATTGCCTGGCTTGGCCACACCAAGAGGGGATTTCCATATAACTGAACGATCAGAGGTAGTTCAGGCAATCTCGGCATAAGGTCGATGTATGGGTGTTTGACGTATGATTATGAAGCGGTGCTCGCCGTGTTGGAACAACCACCAAATGTTGCTCAGAACTCCTCTGCATCAAACTCTGCATCTTCCCCGTCGTTTCCTACCTACCAGAGACGATGCCAAATTACCCACCACCCTATTTCAAAACCCCACTCCGTGTAATCGCCCCGGAAAAGCCGAATTCCCAAGACATATCCATCTCATCCGAGATTCCTTGAGATGCGACTTGTGACCCGTGGTGCCGAAGTGGGAATATCAGTGCGATAGGTTGATGCATAAATTTTGAGCGTGAGAGAATACCTATGATTTCCACATTTAGGAGGTGTAGATGCATTGGAGACACTATGCATTAGGTTGGTCGAAAAAATAACATCCAATTAAGAGAGAAAGTATAGATAGGCTTGTTCCTGATTGTTCTACAGTCAATGTGTTTGATTCTACTGGATAGATATCACTGTATTTCGTAATCTTACAAAGCGTTCTTTCCATGATCTAGGGAGTAGTAATTTGTATATCACATGTATCTCAAATTAGGTATATCAAGGAAGGGCCTGCTTTTTTAGGATGACTAGAATATCATTTAGATACAGTGATATATCTTTGGACGACATAATCTATCAATGACAGTCTTTCTCTCGGCATGCGGACAAGGACACCAAAGAATCTGAAGAAGCATTGGGTCTGTGATCTAGATCAGTAATATTCTTGGTGCATCTCAGGGATATATATATATTAATTGGTTTGAGTATCCGGGATGGAAGGTAATTGGGAGGGAATCTCGGTACAGGTGAGTTGTCCGTAGGCTTTCCGTTTGCGAAAGGCTCAATAACCTATAGTAGAGCTGTACGTAGCTATGTAAGATATGTAGAAGTGTACTCGTAATATTAGTTATGCTCCCGATGGAGAGAAGTAGTCAAGATCTTGGGAAGGGGGATAGGTTATCTTAGCTATAAATGGAAGGGGGATCAACATAGGTCTATTCACAAAATGTTTCGTTTAACCACGGTTGGTGAGATATAATTCTAAGGAGGCATTTGGCATTGATATGTTCTCAACTCGAGTCACATATGAATCTATGGGATATCTATCTCATTTTCAACATACCTCTCCTTTTGAGCTTCGAACTCCCCTCATCACTGCCTCGTCTTCATATCTTCATCATCAGATATAACTTCAATAGGGAAAGGGGGGCCCAGACGTCGCTGCTCGAGAAAGAAATCATAATCTTACATTCCCTCCTCCCATGACACCTCTATTTCATTAAAATCCTTTTGTTCATTGGAACTGGTGTTTGATTGGTTTAGGATCGAATGCAATGATATCTATCTACCCAGGTACCCAGATATCCTATAAAGACAAGTAACTTGGTAGGTTCTCGAACTCAGGTCAGCATTGATAGATAGCAAGGTTATTTGATATCTGCCCAAAGACCAATCCTCATTCTTCTCTAATATTGATCCTTTTATCCAATCCCAAGAGAGTAGAATCAGATAGTGAATGAACTTAATTCACAAATGATAGGTATCAGAAGTATGGAATCCATTCTCTTTATTCCTGTGTTTGGAATGATGGTTGTGTATCATATCAATGAATGTTGCCGGGTACCAATTTGGACATGTTTCAGTACTAATGAAGACCAGGACATACATCTAGATTCTAGATTTGATTGAATTACCTTCATCCTATCATGAGTACCCCTATATTGAATTAATACATAACATCCCCATCCAATATCACCATCTGCAATTGATTACCACTACTCCGTTCCTGTGCCCTTTTCATGTACATAACCATAACTTGACGTTAATGAACTATATCACCTACCGTACTCCGTAGCCCAACTACTCCTCCCGCTAATTCCCAAGTCTCCACACACATTACAACGTACATAGGTGGAACTTCCTACAGCAATACCTCCCATACAACACCATTTGAAAGGAAAAAAAGTCAACCACCTTCTCCAAAATAAAAGCAACAGATAATAGATCTCCGTTACAAAACGGGATCAAGAATCAGAAAACAAGCATCCTAAAGAAATTTACTGGCGATTTCTATATCATAAACCGGACTGATGGATTAATGGCAAAGGGTACGAGTCATATTTTTGAAAGGCCACAAGAGTCGACATCATTTAACGATAACGACCCAGAAATATCAAGACCACTCTCCACTGCAACTTCCATTTCTTCATCTTCTTCATTTACTCCCAGGTACACAACCACCTTCACCTTGTTCACCTTGTTATCTCCACCTGCGTTTCTTCATCATCAACAATACCTTCTTAATTATTAAATCCTTTTCAACTGCTCGCGACTGCCCAATCACCAGTTGTGGATGGTTGAGGGGGTTTAAGAGGTTAATCTACGAGAGCCCATACTCATGTCTTCCAGAATCACACGTTCATCCGCCCGGCAAGCAGCCAGCTCCCTAGAATCACCGGCCGCTTCTTCTGCGACTGCATCGTCTGCAGCAGCAGCTCCACTAAGTCGCTCTTCAGCCCCATCCCGAAAACGTAAAGCTACTGTGCGGGAATCAAGTCCCGCTCTGGAACCTGAACCCACAAAGGCAACTCCATCAAAGCGTCCAAAGCGTCAAAAAGTCTCAGAAACCGAAGCTCCCACACCTGCTCCTGCTTCAGCAGCATCCTCTCGTCGAAAGAACGCAAAAGCTCCTGCGGTTATGTCTAGTCATAGGAAAGTTAAGATTGATTTGGAACGTGGTCTAGTGTCTAACAATACATGCAGTGATTCTGCGGGTCCTTCCAACGAACCATCCAATACCACCGCCAGCTCATCCAGGCGCAAGTCTAATAGAAATAATAAGAAAGGTGGTCCAGGTCTGTTTAAATCATGGGCAAGACGATCCAGTCGAAAGTAGCTAACATGAAGCAGACGCCACAACCGGCACCCCGAGCTCGAGTAAGAAGTTAAAGAAATCTGCCGTTGCCGATAAGGATGGAGACACAGCAATGAACGACGCAGATGGGAAGGCGCCACCACATCCACTCGATGACGACGATGCCAGCGATGACAACGATGACGATGAGATTCCTCGAGATTACGATGGAGGTGATGATGAAGATGACGATCCATTCGGTGGCTTCGGTGGACCTGGCGGGCCGCCTCATGGGTTATCGAGCACTTTGCGAGCTTTGAGCGGCATGATGTCCGGAGTTTCCTCTCGACTGCGCGAAATCTTATCACAATTGAGGCAAAAAGATGAGCCGTCTGTACAATTGATAGCATTACAGGAACTTTCCGAGATACTACTTGTGTCGACAGAGGACAATCTTTCTGGTCACTTCTCTCCGGATGCGTTTGTTAAAGAATTGGTTGCTTTGATGCAACCCTCTGAGTTTGAATTTGGAGAAGGAAACCCTGAAATGATGCTCCTTGCCTGTCGGTGTATTGCCAATTTGATGGAAGCTCTACCTGCCAGCACTGCAAACGTTGTATACGGTGGCGCTGTTCCAGTTCTCTGCCAAAGAATTTTAGAATTTGCTTACATCGATCTAGCAGAACAGGCTTTAAGTGTGAGTGCTTCACTATAGATTTTCAGTTCAAATGCTTACTTTCATCTTAGACGCTCGAAAAAATATCTATCGAATATCCAGCATCAATTGTGCGTGAGGGGGGATTGACAGGCTGTCTGAATAATCTCGATTTTCACGACACAAACGCACAAAGAACTGCCGTCACTACTGCCGCAAACTGCTGCAGAAATATCCCTGAGGATTCATTCAATGTAGTCAAGGATGTTATGCCCAGTTTGCTGAACGTTTTTAACTCCAACGATCAGAAAGTCGTTGAGCAAGGTTCACTATGTGTAACTCGAATTGTGGAGAGCTTCAGATACCATTCAAGCAAGCTCGAGGAACTCGTCAGCACCGATCTACTCCGCGTCATCCTTCGTCTTTTACTCCCTGGATCTACTAATCTTATTGGTGCTAATATCCACACGCAATTTCTCCGTGTTCTTGCTTTCACGGCAAAGGCTAGTCCTAAGTTGTCCGCCGAACTTTTCAAAATGAACGTTGTCGAGACATTATATCAAATTTTGACTGGTGTTTCTCCGCCAAGCGCCACAGAGGACGTAGCATCGAAGATTGACAGTGTTGTCATCATGCAAGCTTTAATTCACAGACCCCGGGAACAAGTTATCGAAACTTTGAACGTTATATGTGAGCTCTTACCCGGAATACCACGAAGTGGTAATTCGATGTTTGATGATGAAATCGATGTCGAACTTTCATCAGGAGCAACAAACCCATCATCTGGTTCAAGAAAGAAGTCAGCTAATGAGACTCGCATCGAACTTTTGGAGGGCTGTAAAGAGGAAGTCAAGAGATTTGCGATCATACTCTTTCCAACCTTGACAGATGCGTTCTCTAGCACTGTCAATTTACATGTTCGCCAAAAGGTCCTTAACGCTCAGCTCAGAATGCTCTCCAATCTTGACAAAGATATTTTAATGGAGGCTTTGAAATCTGTTCCATATGCATCGTTTTTGGCTGCAATTCTTTCGCAGCAAGATCACCCTAGCTTGGTCGTCTCTGCACTTCAAGCTACCGAGCTTCTCCTCGTCCGCCTAGAAGACATATATCGTTACCAATTTTACCGAGAAGGAGTAATTGCTGAGATTACTAAGCTAGCCACTCCTGAGGAAACCAAGACCGAAAATAAACCCCCTTCTACAGGAACAATTGAGTCAACTCCAGCCTCTGCCCAAGCTAGTGCAGAGCCTAAAATCTCCGAAAAGGCAGGTCAGAATGGAGAAGCACGCAACGAAGAGCACGCATCATCTGACGAAGATAACGAGAACAACGAGGACGAGAATGAAAATGAAGTCGGACACAATGATGATATGCCAGATGATGTAACCGCTTCCCCAGTCAGCTCTCGTGGCTCTACAATGTCGTTAGATAACCCTCACCGACATGCACCTTCAGATTTCAAAAGTATGCTGAACATCATTGCCGTCCGTGCACAAAGGTTCCTCGACGTTCATGAAACCGAAAAGAATAGCAAAGCTATGAAGAAGAAAGCAATGAAGATTTTGACGAGTCTACAATCCCTGGCTTCGGATATCAGGAACTTCTATTTGACGCAAGGCCCCGGCAGCGGGTTTGAGCTTTTCGGAACACTCGCATCCTATTTCGATGGCGATGTTCTACAAAGTGTTACTAGTGCTGAGTTGTTAAATTCTGAAATCGTCCAGGTTTTACTAGAAGTCTTCAACAACCCCGATGAACAGCTGGCCAATGATGCCAGATCTGCTTTTCTCGAAGTCTTTATGGGTCACACTCTTGCTAAGAAGTCTAACTCGGGATCAGACACGCCTGCAACCCCATTTGGTCTTCTCATTCACAAGCTACAGGATTTGTTGAGTCGATCGGAGCATTTTGAAGTAGTCACTGTTCACTCAAACAGCTTTGATGGAAACAGGAGTAGTGCCGCTTCGATGCTGGCCAAACAGATCCGCCTTAAGTTGGTAGCTGATGAGGATTCCGAAATTCCAAGATCTTATCGAAACATTATGGTATCTATCCATGCTATTGCGACTTTCAAGGCTTTGGATGATTACCTCCGTCCCAGAATCAGCTTGTCTGATCGCCCTCGGCCACCCAGAGCTAGAGATGGACTTTCTGGTGCATTAGCGGCCCTTGCCGCAGCCGGCTTGCCTAATCCATATGCTGGTATTCCCAACGCCCAGGCGCGTCTCGCAGCAGCAGCAGCTGCAGCAAACCCAACTGCATCTACTCCTCGTACTTCTCGTAGAGCAAAAGCAAAGTCTGGTCCCGTTCCAACACCCGCATCCGCCGACCAATCGGCATCGAATACGCCAGCAGAAAAACCTGCTAGGCGATCGTCTCGGCGTCAGGGAGCTCAGACTGATCCGCCAATCCCACCGCCTCCCATGCAAGAAGAAGACGCACTTGCTAGTGCCCTCGAATGTGCTGACGAGAGACAGATGAGTGAGGATGATGATTTGGAGGATAGCGCTGCCTTAGATACTATTGTCGGCGACTTAGAAGAAGACATGGAAGAAGATTCTCCCGTCGATCCTACTGCTGTAAACCTTGAAGTAGCAGCAGGTGGTAAGGTCACAGCCCGTAAGGAGGATGGCACAAGAGTGGCAACTCCATCACAATCCGTGCCAAGCACTTCTCGCAGTAGCTCTGCACTTCAGGCAGCCGCAACCCAGGCAGCTTTGTCCACGCCAACCACATCGTCAAGACCTATGTCTTACGCAGCCGCAATACAAGCTGTTCCGTCGGATTGGCACATCGAATTCAGCTTGGATGGCAAAGTCATTGCTAATGAGACTACAATTTACCGTGCTGTTCATACCATGGCCAACACAGCCGAAGATTACTCAAATCGAAGTGTTTGGTCTGCTATTCATCCCATTAAATTTAAGCGCGTTCCTGGACCACCTCCTCCAGAGCCTAGCTCTCTCTCTCAAGCATCTGAAATTAGCACAGAAACCACTGCGTCTGGTATTCCAGCATCGTTAGACAAGCATCCTGCAACATCTTCAATTCTTCGATTGCTCAACATCTTACACGCACTCAATGCTAACCTAGATGATGTTTTGGCTGACAATAAGGATGCTTTGAAACTAAATGCCGAGCCTTTATCACAATTTGTGAACACTAAGCTTACGGCAAAGTTGAATAGACAACTGGAAGAACCCCTCATTGTTGCTAGTAACTGTCTTCCGACCTGGAGCGAGGATCTTGCTCGCCTTTATCCATTCTTGTTTCCTTTCGAGACGCGGCACCTATTCCTACAATCGACCTCTTTTGGCTATGCTCGATCAATGACCAGATGGCAAAATGCCCAATCTGCCGATGAGTCTCGCCGAGATCGTCATCGTGATGAACGTCCTTTCCTAGGTAGGCTTCAGCGTCAGAAGGTCCGGATATCTAGATCGAAGATCTTGGAGTCGGCCTTGAAGGTCATGGAACTTTATGGTGCATCCCAGAGCATCCTTGAGGTTGAGTACTTTGAAGAGGTTGGAACTGGTCTTGGGCCTACCCTTGAATTCTATTCAACCGTTTCGAAAGAATTCTCCAAGAAGAAACTCAAGCTATGGCGTGAGAATGATAACGATACCGACGAGTATGCATTTGGTGCTCGAGGCCTTTTCCCAGCACCAATGAGCGAAGAACAATCATTGAATGAAAACGGAAAGAGAATCTTACATCTATTCAAAATGCTCGGCAAGTTTGTTTCTAGGTCGATGATTGACTCTCGCATTATTGATGTCTCTTTCAATCCAACATTTTTCCGTATTGGCGACGAGACGAACCCTGTAACACCTTCTCTCGGCGCGGTCAAAACCGTCGACCCTCAATTAGCAAAGTCACTTAAGATGATAAAGAAATTTTCTGTTGCGAAGAAGGCGATTGCCGAGGACTCGACTCTGACAGCTACCCAGAAAGTCCTTGCGACAGAAGCATTGGAAATCGACGGAGCCAAAATTGAAGATCTCAGTTTAGACTTTACCCTTCCTGGTTATGACATTGATCTCCTCCCTAACGGCTCTTCAATTCCTGTCACTATTGATAACGTCGACCTCTATCTTGAGAAGGTTATTGATATGACTTTGGGAAGTGGTGTTCAACGACAAGTTGATGCCTTCCGTGCTGGTTTCACTCAAGTCTTCCCATACTCTGCTCTGAGAGCCTTCACTCCAGATGAGTTGGTTATGTTATTTGGAAGAATTGAAGAAGATTGGTCACTTGAGAGTATGTTTATTGACCTCCTCTGATTGCAATATAGATTAATGCTAACATTTCTATAGCTTTGACGGATTCTATCAAGGCAGATCACGGCTTCCATATGGACAGCAAGAGTGTGAAGAATCTGCTTCAAACGATGAGCGAGCTCTCCCTACCAGAGCGCCGGGATTTTCTTCAATTCACAACTGGAAGCCCAAAACTTCCCATTGGTGGTAAGTTAAAATCTATATTTCTTTTATTGACTGACAGCTAAACATTTCCAGGTTTCAAGAGTCTTACACCAATGTTCACTGTGGTTTGCAAACCCAGTGAGCCACCTTATTCCTCTGACGATTATCTACCAAGTGTCATGACATGTGTCAACTATCTCAAATTGCCCGATTACACCGATCTCGATGTCATGCGACGACGTATGAATACTGCCATTAGGGAAGGACAAGGAGCTTTCCATCTGTCATAAGGCATATGTTAATAGTGGAAATTGGACTGAGTCTGGCGTGCATTAGGTCTGGTCAAACAGGGAATTGATATTTTCGGGCTTGTCATTGGAGGATGAACAAAATTGGGGGTTGGTTTGCTTATTTTTGAGTCCAAACCACGATGTATTCAAGAGCTATTTCTCGCAGTGTTCTCTTCTTTTTATCGGACAAATTTTATTTTCTTTAAACCTTCTATCTACTTTGTAATGGAAGTTGGAGAGGGAGTCAAATTGCATGGATTGGTCGTTTGGGCGCATAGTTTGTGAACCGGATCCCCTGGGAGGGGAAGGGTCGCAAATATGACTGGACTGGACTGGTGGATTGGACTGGAAGGGGTTTTTTAGCTTCTAACTACTTTACACTTCTACTATTGCTTTGCAAAACATTCTCAATTAGATATTAGGTAGATGAATTGATTTTATTATATAATGATATTTATAATGTTTGTGATGTTTTTCCCCTGTGAGATTGAGGTCTGAAATATGATTATAAATGTAATTATGATTTTCAGGAGTTATTGCAAATAGTTATAGGAGTAAGTATGATTGGGATAGGATGGAACTTATCCAATGAAATGAAATGCAATGGAATGGCTTGCTAATTATACCGCAACTATCTACCACTGGTTATTATTCGGAGTATTTATCATTAAGTCTAATACTCTACTTTCGGACCACCCCTCTTTCGGACCACCTTTTTAAATCAAAAAATCGTGATTTTCAACTATTCATAACTTTATAATCAATTGATAAAATTTGATAAAATTTAAATTACAGATTCATTATATAATTATTAATAGATTTTGAAAAATTTAGATTTTTTATAATTTATTGATTAAGAAATTAAAGATTAAAATTATAATTTTCAATTTATATAGAATTTATATAAAAATTAAAAACCTTCAAAAACTTCAATAATTTTTCTTGAAAAGTTATTTAAGAATTTTGAATTCTTCAAATTTGTATATAAATCTTAAACAAATTAAAAATTATAATTTCAACTTTAAATTTCTCAATCAATTAAATCATGAAAAATTTGAAATTCTCAGATTTGATCAATAATCATATAATAAATCTGTATTTCAAATTTGATTTAATTCTATTGATCGGTTCTAAAGTTATTAATAGGTGAAAATTACGACTTCTGGTGTAAACAGGTGGTCCGAATTAGGGGTGGTCCGAAAGTAGGGTATTAGACTTAGTTGATTAGCAATAAGCAATAAGACTATGGCTCGGTACCGATACTTCTCTCAGAGGCAGTGAGCTAGAGCTCTGGTCTCTCGGTATTTCAAATTATACGAAGGGATGTAATCCTTAATCTGTGCCACCCAAATACAGCTTTTTAATAAATCATGTATTTTCAGAGAGTGATGGATGAGAAATAAATGCCAAGAGTAGCGAGTTTGATCCGATACATTGAACTGTTTGAACGCCGTATTCGTCAATTCAACGATTAGAAAATGTTTTGTTGTCCATTTAGCGAAGTCGCTAGGTGAAGTATCCAAGCTAGCAGATCAGGGTAATTTAGTTTATGTGTAAGAGCCGGTAGACGCGCTCATGAAAATCTTTAAGTAGCAATTTATGATCGAGAAAGATTCATGATTATATTGACCTAGTATGGATATCTTTAGATATCTCCTTCGAGTGTGCTGTTCTGCTAACTCCTACGGCTAGCCTGGCGAAGAATCTCTCACATCTAGGCGGTGCAAATTAATGACATGCTAGATAATTCGAAAGCTGCTAATGGGCAACTCCAGCCGCCTTCTTACACGACCCTCCCCGTTCCCCCGGCGAGTATCCTCCCGTCTGATAGAATCTTTGTGCGGTTCTTCATGCATAAATACCCATCAGCAGAAGAGCCTGTACCCGTCACAGTCCGTCTACTGTTTGAGAAAAATTATCCTCATGTAAGATCTGGATCCACAAGCAACAGGTAGTTTGTTGAAACGCCAGAAGGAAGCTACTTATCATTTATCGTGCCTCAAGAAAGCTGCTATTATGAATCAGCTCATGTCTACTGAAATATAGGTTAGCCTTGTACCGTTCTGGGCCAAACTAACCTTTGTAGACTCGCATCAGAGTGTTGCAATTGATTTTTGGTATGATTTTAGAAGCCCACCAACTGTTGCTAACATACGACTTCGGGTTTGATACTGCTAAGATCAGATCAGCAGGTTCAACATATGGAGAAATTCATGGCTCAGCGGTTAAAAGATCGTATAGTGAAGTTCCAAATGAGCATACAAATTAACCAGTTCCCTCTTTATGATTTCACAAATTCACATGCATTGATAAAGGAGCAAGATTTGGATAAGATCACGAATCATTATATGAACAATATTACCGATCAAGATTTAATTCTTTCGAACAGTTTTTTTAAATTCCAAATTATATTGATTGAGTTGGAGATAGTATAAATACGCGATATTTCGCTAGCATTGACGCTAGTTCGTCGATAACGCGAGCCGAAATGTTATATATATAACTCGGTGTTGAGTTAAACTTAATATATTATAAAATTTTGATATTGTCGGTTGTGGGGGGGTGTGGGGAAGTGAAGCCTCAATATCTGTAGTATTCGTATTGATTTGCCTAAAGAACCAGAACTATAGGGAATGAGGAACTATATGAATATGCGACCCCTCTTGCCGAGGCACTAGCGTCAACGCTAGTGATTCATGTGATCAATATCTCAACAGATATTATCATATATCCTAGCTTTTATTATACAATTATAAAATTTTAAGTAAAATTATATCAATCAATTGATTTTATTATAATCTATAGAAATTTTTTTTTTTAAATTTATCTTTAATAATTAGTAATCATTTCTTCGATTACACATCAAATTCTTTCGATGTTGAATAGACAACTGCAGGGAATATTAACGCACTAGCAGGTTTTATACCGTTGCAACCTTCATGTTGAGAGTGAGACTTGGATGGACGCTGCGGACTTGCCTTGTATATTTTCATTTATTAAATCACAAGACGAAACCTGAAATGCCAGGGAAAAAGTTCACAAAACCCTGTCGTCCCGAAAAGCCAAGTTCGCGTTTAGAGAGAGTATTTCATGATTCTCGGGTCAAAATTTGCAGCTATATCTCCATCACCCTTTACTTGTCCGTTGAATGTTGGTAAACTTGAGATTGTATCTAAATCGCTTCAACAAGCCTTTCTTCTTACCCAGAAAATGTATCAGCAAGTTCCAAAAGCTCCTTCCATCTTGTGTCCTTCTGGATCTCGATCTTCGCCTCTGGCGTAGCAACTTTGAATTCATCAATCTCCTTCGTACCATATTGATACTCATCCTCAGCACCAACAAATGCGACCAAGTCACGGATCCAATCTTTCATCAGCACAAGTTCTTGCTCAGTTGGGCCGTGCATTATCGAAAAACTATTTGTGCGAAGAGAAAGTTAGTCAAATCCTATATTTACACTTCTCGATCAAGGGGACTCACTTCCAGAGTGGCTTATCCATCGCGTGAGCTACACCAAAGCTCCTTGGTGCTACGGCGTCTGTTATGAATGATAGCCGATACGAAATCTTATATCGCCAAATATTCTCAACTCCCACACCATTTGAATGGAGGCTGTTTACCAGGAACCGAGTTGGTGCACGTACTTGGCCATCGGAGATGATATGACCATATAAGGCGGTCCAGTCATCCTTCTCCTCCGTGGTTGGAAGCTTGTAGTGTTGTAATACGCGAGACGTTGTTGCAGGCGCGTAGTAATTGGATACCTGTAGACGAAGAGAGTCTTCGTTTGCCTCAGGACCATTAGTTGCAGCATATAGTGTTTCTTCATTTAACATTTCGCCGATGAGTATCTTGAAGTTTCGGCGTTTGAATTCTTTTGCGAATGCGCCAGTGCGATGATAGTCTATCATGCCGGGCTGGATGAATGACGAGTCCGTTACCGGGCGGAATGTGTGGTGCTTTAATTTCATAATGGCGTCTACCAGTTCTTTTGATCCTATTTGGCGCAGTGCGGCTAGTTTCTCGACACCACTGGAGTCTTTTGAAATGCTAAAGAACTGGCAAAGTTCATCAAATTGCTCTTGGCATTCGGCAAGTGTCTTCGGTTGTGCTGGAATGGCGTTGGACATCATGACAATGCGATGGAACGACGGAGAGGTAGCTTGAAACCCTGGATTCTGAAACTCATACATAGCGTTCGCATGCACGGCGTACGCGCCTGCGCTTCTCCCTGCTAGGGTAATATTCTCTACATCACCTCCAAATTGCGCTATGTTCTCTCGAACCCAATCGATAGCTAGTCTTTGGTCCCACAAACCATAGTTACCTGCTTCGGCATTGTCGTTTTCTGCTTGCAAGGCATCACCAGCGAGAAAGCCAAATAGGTTCAATCTGTACCCTATAGCTACCACAATGGCGTTCAACTTCCCTGTTGATATGAGTTCGGTGGGATTCATTACCGCCTCATGTGATGGGTCGCCCATTTGAAACCACCCTCCATGAAGCCATAGCATGACTGGCCATTTCTTCCCATCAGTTGATTTAACTGGTGTCCAGATATTAACTCTCAAGCAATCTTCACCAAATGCCTCTTCAGGGCCTTCATTTTTCTTGGCTGTTATATAAGCGGCCTGTGGACAAATTGGTCCAAAATTTGTTGCGTCGAATGGTTTACCGTCATGTGATGCATAGGTATAATCGGCAGGAAGTGGCTGGGGCTTTCGCCAGCGCAGATTTCCTACGGGAGGTAATGCATATGGTATGCCGGCATACCGCCGTGCCTTCGAATCATATTGAAGTCCTGTGATGGATCCCTTTCCGTCACCGAGATCAAGCTGATGTTCCTCAACTTTGTATGATATGGTGTTTCCCATGATGCTTGAGCTAGGCTTGAGCTATCCAATAATTTGATGTTTCTGAACTGAACTCTAGCTAAAGGTATATAAGACACGCTTTGAAGAATTGGAACAACTGGAGTATCACGAAGAAGTTGATGTGGATAAACTATCGTGGAAATTTGTTTACCCAGATTGATTTCCTATGGTCATCTAGCTGTCGACCCCGCTCTTAGTAGACCAAAAATTCCGGGCGACAGGAAGATCAAGAAATTGTCAAGAAAACGGTGGCAGGAGGCCGTAAGGGTTATGATCTGGTCCAAGAAATATATAGCCGCCGGAGGTCATTGTAGATAGATATGCAAGATAAGTCCACTTCAGACCCCTACATCTTCCTCATACCCACTATGCATATCGTGTAATTGAGCCAATCAAATTATACAGTTATCGATTCCTCTTCGCTTAGCTCTCTGTGGTCTGTGCTCTTTGATAGTGTTCAGTGCGGAAGAAGCGGGGCCACATGAAATCGGTTGTCTTGATTCTTGAGTTCCCACATTGCGTCGTGTACCGGCATATTCTTTAGTAGACGCAGTTGGTGATAACCTTTTGCGGATTCTGTTCAATATGGTAGCAAAGTTCATAACAATACCTGAATGTCCAGATGTGCCCACAGATCGATGGAGTGCCGAGGACCCGTCACAAACACCGATGAAGTCAAAGTTGACAGCCTCGGTGATACACTTATCATGTCAGACTCTGCCACCACCTCCGCAAAGGCTAATCCCAAGAGAAAGCGGTCTAGTACCTCCCGTTCTAAGCAAGGTAAGTTCCTCATATTGCACCACATTTTAGTTGAGCAGTTGCTGATACTTTTGTCATAGGATGCTTGACTTGCCGCACAAAAAAGGTCAAATGCGATGAACGTCTTCCTTGCTGTAGAAGATGCGAACGTCTGAAGCTGAATTGCCAGCAGTCGTGCTCCCGTATCTTACCAAGTGTGAGAGACCGACGACGCGGTGTTGGCCCACTTAAGTCTCGCAACTCTGACTGGTCTCCTCAGCCGCTCTCTCCAGCTCTACAAGTATCAGAAGAACAGCCACCAAATTCAGAAACGCTTTTAAACCATTATCTGTCGGGTTATGAACATGGATTAGTAGCTGCATCAGCATCCTTGTTCTTAGCAGAAGATTCTTCAGACATATCTCAATGTGAAGCACCAAATATTGAGACAGAGGCAAATACACTTTTGAACCCTGCTTCCGATTGGATACTTCCAGGTTCTCAGTGTATAAATGCTTATGCTAGCACATATTGTAATCCTATATCTTTCGAACAGCTTTCTATAGCAAACATATCGTCGGCACAGGAAATTGTGTCGGAAAATGGGATGTCTCTGACTGTAGACGAAGAGCTAGCTCTCGCACATTATCGGACAGCATTTTCTCTAACTCAGACTACAAGAGATCCAAAGTGGTCCACTCCCGCTTTACTGTTACTTCACGGACTGAAGCACTCACAGATGCTTCTCCACCTCATACTAGCCGTTTCGCTTTATGATACGCCCTCCGATCCCGTCAATGTTAGTCGTCTCCGTCAAACTGGCCATAAACATTACGAAAAAGGCACGGAGCATCTGATGCTAGCTTTACAAAGTGAAGGTTTTCCAGACCACCTAGCAGTCGTGGGATCTTTTTATTGCATACAAATGTATATGTCACGATCCCATGGCACCATCATACCAAAGTTAGACCAGCTCAGTATCGCAGCAACAGAGCATTTGAAAAAGTATAACTTGATAGTGCCTATCTACGGCCAGTCACATTCAAATAATAAATCTATGAAGGAACGTGCAGAGCGAAGTTTAATCGCTCGCATGATCATGTGGCTGCTGAAAATTGATGCACAGGGAAGTTTTTTAGGATGTAAGCCTAGTTTAGTAAACTACTTTCAAGCACATCCTGATCACCTATCAGCTGTGCAAGCAGAATCTCGTCTTGCTTTGCAGCTTAATTGGGGAGCAGAATATCCAATATCGCAAAGCATCCGGGATATTGAGAGTTGTTTGCCAGTGGACATGATGACTGATATGCTAGTTCTATACTCCAAGATTAGCGAATTCAGCCAATTACCCTCGAACATTCAGACCAGTGAAATGCTAGCGAGTCTGCAAAAGGAATTAGCTGCTTTAGAAATAGTAAGTTATGGTAATTATCGTATTGGATTATGCTTACTACTTGTAGCGTTACGGTGCTGTTTTCTATTATGGTTCTTCAGAGATGACCCTACAACCGGCAATGAAACTCAATTGTGCAAACTCGGCTACAATGTATTCCGCACTCCAAATATATTTCGCCCGAAGTGGGTCAAGCTCATTCGGAGAAGAAGCCACACCTGATATTAAAGCTGTTTTAAGCCAACTACTGCTCTTCGCCATGCATGTTTGTCCTGCCGGCTCAAAACAGCCGGTGTATGAATTTCAATGGTCTTTGTTCATTGCAGCTGTCGAAACTAATGATATGATACACCAAGAATGGTTACAAGCTAGAATAACTAACCATCGCCTTCGCAAAGCCCTGCAGCGTATTTCTTCGTTCAAGCGAAGCAATATGGGGAAAATATCTTTAAGTAAGGTGAGGGAAATCTTTTGGGCTGTGTAAGAAAGAATGCATACATTGATTTCACTGTATTGGAGGTATGTGTACTAAATGAATTCAATGGACTGCATGGATGCTCATTACGCATGGCCAAGGGACCCGGGTCAGTCCGATTGGACTAAACGTGCATCACAATAGTTTGTTCGGGATGTAACACTTCGAAAGGAGGCTGCTTTGGTTGCCTGATGATCAGGGGAAAAGAGGTTAAGGTTACTCGGCGTCAATGGATATGTACTATACTCAGCAGAAGCGACTTTCTACTTCTTCCATCTGAGCAAATCATCCGGATCTACACAAATCCGGACAATGATCAATCAAACGAGCCAACCAAGCAATTTTAGCAGAGAGATAGTATTACCTAAATATTCAAAAGAATATTACGAAAATACAAACTCCTTTCAACGCCTAGCTACCTGCTGCGGGGTCCAGTAAAAGCCACAACTAGGAAAAAGCGAGGTTCCCCCGTTTTGATCAATTAGTCATACCGCGGTCGTACGTCCAATGTACTGCGGGGCTGATAACGGCATTTCTACGCGGCCCCTCTCGTCGTCGATTCTGGCGAATCACACGCTCAAGTTGCCGAGTATGATGATGGCTCGGAGGATTTCCTCCCCAGCTTTCCCCAGTGATCGGCATCATGAGGTTCGTGCCTGTACCACCAAGTTGCATCCTTGGTGATAAGGTCCAAGAGAGTAATGAATCTTCAGCATCTTCCGTCTTGGTCCCAAATTTTTCCTGGAGATATAACCTGTTAAACAGCACCACATGGTTCTATATTAATTCATTTGTCTTCAGTAAACATCCTAAAGCCTGACAATGTCTTCAGTCGACGGTGAACACAGCCTTGGCGGAGACGCTCTCAAAACCACTTTGAAATCTCCTCAGGCAGGAGAGAAAAATATTGAGAATGTAGAAACTGGTGAGACCTCTTGCCATCCGACAGTCGCAGAAGAGAATGCATTGCTAAGAAAGATTGATTGGCGGTAAGTAACGTAGTTCTGAGATAGATGAGACACGAAATCTAATAAAGAAGACAGGTTGATGCCATTACTGGCGGCTTCCTATTTCTTGCAATTCCTCGACAAAACCAGTCTCAACTATGCTTCAGTAATGGGCTTAATTGTTGATACTGAACTTAAAGGCCAGGAATATTCATGGCTGGGAAGTGCTTTTTATTTTGGCTATCTGATTGCTAACTACCCAGCGTCCCTGGGATTCATCAAATTTCCACTAGCCAAATACCTCTCAGTATCAGTTGTCCTCTGGGCTATTGTGTTAGGCTGCCATGGAGCTGCAAATAGCTTTATTGCATTGTGTATTCTCCGCGTCCTCTTAGGAATAATGGAGAGTACTATCAGCCCCGGTTTCAGCTTGTTGACTGGTATATGGTATAAGCCTTCCGAACATGCTTGGAGACATGGCATATGGTTCTTAGGAAACGGCATCGCCAACACCTTTGGAGGCATATTTGCGTACGGTATTGCTCATATTGGAGGAAGTCTGGAACCATGGAGAGTGAGTCATCTACCAACTGTTCTAATAAATTATACCTTACGCATTTTTGTAGTGGTTATTTATCATATTTGGATTGGTTACCGCCTCATGGGGAGTCATACTCTATTTTGCTTTGCCTGATTCTCCATTGACTGCTAGATTTCTCACACAACGCGAGCGAGAAATTGCTGACCGTCGGCCACAAAAGATACAACATAGTTTCAAAACGGATAAATGGTCAAAATCTCAATGCATTGAGGCATTGATTGATCCCAAAACATGGTTGATATTCCTGATCATTGGTGTCTCCTCAATCACTAATGGTGTGATTACTAATGCAAGAACCCCTCGCTTGTGTAGTATCCCTCTTTGACTAACGAGTTACAAGTTCGGAGCTCTAATCATCAAGTCCTTTGGCTTTACCGAACTGAATACTATTCTACTCGGCATGCCCTATGGAGGATTCCAAATTGTAGCTGTGATTGCCGCGACCTACACCGCCTCAAAAGTCCGGAGATCTCGCCTTATAATCATCATTGTAGGATCTCTCCTTGCTTTGGTCGGTATCTTGTTAGTCAAAGAAGTTCCAACATCCAACAGATATGGACGTTTGGTTGGGTGCTGGGTGGTGGTTTGGTTTTCGTCTGGCTTTCCTCTGCTTTTGAGCTTGATGGCAAGCAGTAAGTTAATCCTTCTATGAAGTTGTAGAATATCACGTCACCTTTCTAACAGAATTCACAAAGACACAGCGGGATTCACCAAGAAAACTACCGTCAATGCTATCTTCTTCATCGGATACTGTGCCGGCAACATTGGCGGACCTCAACTATTTAAATCTGCCGAAGCACCAAATTACCACGTATGAACTTCTCACTCTTGAATCGAAAGTTGAAGACTAACTAGTTCAACAGACAGCATACAATGGCATGATTGCTTGTCTAGTCATCGCAATCGCGCTGTCAATTGTGCTCAGGCAGTACATGGACTGGGAGAATAAGCGGCGCGATCGCGAGCAGGGAGTCTATATTGACCCCGAACCTAGACATGTGGTGGACATTGATGAGGTAGACTTAGAGGGTGAGCGTGTTGTATTGACCGATTGGGAGAACAAGAGATTCCGTTACTATTTGTAAATCGTATGCATGGGGGCACTTTGTAATCTCAGGGATATGGAATGAATGAATGAATGGAGCAATATTTCTACTCGTCGAGTAGCAACTGTTTTCTAAATATCAATAACTGCGAGGGTGAACTCAAAAGCTGAATAATAGCGAATTGAACTTTCAATTCAGGAAAACCGGTGACTAGAAATCATAAAATTCACGAGCCTGTATAAATATTCTCGCCAACGACCGGACAATGAATTGACAGAGATCTAATTTCTACTTGTGTGCGGGAGCGTCTACTTTGACAAGAAATTGTGCGAGCAATATCATCCTCGCGTCCCATCAGGAATCGCAGCTCCAACAGTAAAACAGCCCCCTTCATATCTACAATAATAATCCTTTCAACGGCTGGGAGTATTCCCCAACGCAAATGTCAAAATTGGAAGTGGCGTGTTTGGGCGGCGACGAAAAAAAATTATAAAATTAAGCGACGCTAGTTCAAGTGTAGTATTAATTAATGGTGATTTACGTGACAACATTCCACCTAGTACAGGAAATTGAACCTTGTAAAACGCAGTTTCTGTGGTAGTGCTAAACTTTCGTTCGTTATAAACCTTCGCATGAAAATTTTATGATTCTTCATAATCCTCCCATCTACCAAAAACCCATGTGCCTATCCCCTGTTTCAACTTGTGATGCCAGAAAGACTTCCTGTCACGGAGTTTATTCCGACGTCAGTCAAGAACCAGGTTGTCTCGGAAAAATCTATTTTCTGAGTGCATTTCCCTTGAAGACCATATACGATCACTGAGGTCTTTAAAAGTTGTGGGATTTAGCATATTCCGATCATTAATAATTATCAATCGAAATGACGAAACTTAAAAATTGCTACTCGGGATATTTGCCGCTATTTTTATGATAATACTTCTTAAAATCACAGGCTGTGTCAGTTTGGCATCAATCAGGGCTAAAAATGAGCTTGATATCTAATATTCATCATTGTATCTATATTAAATTTCCTCATTTAACTGTATGCTGTATCCCCAGGTAGCATAGCCACACATAAAAACTGCTAAGAGCCCCATCACCTAGCCGTCCTACATATTCCTGCACTGATAATGGCCAACAATTAAACAAACAAACAAACAAACAAACAAAAAAGGAGACATGGCGTACTCTATGATTGTAATTGACGAGTGCCAAAAACGATAAGAAAATGGTGCTTTGCTGCCTTGGTCAAGTATGAGCATAATCTGCAGCCCAGCCTTTTAAAAAGCTTGAAGTTTCTTCAGCAACCACCTCGGTTGGCGCACCACTCGCATGCCGCTGAAATCCATACCGCAAAACAGCGCCCAGCTTAGCTGCTAATTCTGCAAGAATACGTAGACTTGCTCCAGCTCCGGAGAGAGCATAGAACTCGGTCCAGAAAGTTTCAGTCAGCTTGTTCGGACAGCTATAATTGTGCCAGCCCTCCGAGTCCATATAGCCTGTCGTGAGGCGAAGTATGTCCAGCTCAATACCAAAAGGTAAAACGGTTGCTAGAGACCAGTCAACTATTGCCGTAATTTCAAACGTCTCCTCATTGACAAGAATATTAGTCACGGAGAGGTCGCCGTGCGTAAGGGCTTGAGGGTAGTCTGGGCTGAAGAGAATCGGTACGATGAGCTCTAACTGAGCTATGAATGAGCTTGAGAGCACAGTGTATGACTGCCGGAGGTTTGGCAATCTACGAAGCATGGCATCTTTGTGTTGGGCCAGCACTTTGGAATCGATGGATTGTTAGTTGCGCCAACATCTTGCGAAGAAGCTATAAATTTTAGTATCGGTCCATGCATGGAGATGAGAGGGAATGCTAACTTAGCTAGGTTACTCATGAATTTAATATGCTTAATGTCATCATCTGTATTCATGATAACCTGACAACTAAGAGCCTCGAGGCAGGAAATGCCGGGTAAATAAGGCATAATGAAAATAGCGAGTGGTTGATCTCCGATTGTACTACAATATCTTGCCTCAGGCACCAATTGGACATGGATTTCTCTCGCAAGCTCAACTGTATTGCTATCAAGCCAAGAGTCTGGAAGACGAAAAGATACAACCTGCCCCCCTTCACCCGTCTAGCCACCTGTGCAAAGAGTGGTATAGCTTAAAGAGCTCTGGATGCCCACTGGCTGGATGGATGAAGCGCCGGTGTGAGACAAGGCGACTTCATTGCATTGCGCTTGGTTTGGAGATTCACAATCTTGAAAAAACTGGTTTATGGAATCTTGAGCCCATTGTGTAGCACCCATCATCAATGACTGTTTGGAGGTGTAAAAGCGCAAAGAAACTTCGGAAATGATAAATAAGGTGTGTTACCAATTTCAATGATGGTGCTCAGGATCATACGGGGGCTGGTTTGATGGTTGGGGAACGTCTGAAATAGCTGTGGCACGCCAAGGCCCTCACCAAACAAGCAAGGCCCGATATTCCGATATTTCAGAATTGAGGACCCCAATTTTGGACCACCCTTTTATATAAAAAATGTTTTATAATTTATCTTTTATTTATATTAATATAAATAAATATTCGATTAATTAATTATTAATTATAGATTATTTTTGAAAATAAATTGATTTACTTAATTAATTGTAGCTTTAATATTTGAAAAATTTTAATATACTTTTTGTACGATTTTTATTGAAATTTTTTTAAGATTTTCAAGTTTCTTAAATTTATATATACTTTTAGAGGTATAGGTACAATGATCTTCCCGATGACTCACAACAGCCTGAGATATCAGAAACGCATCTTCAAGCTCTAGGCCAGCTTTATGTTCGCCATAGTGTTCAACACATCTTCGGTCTTCATCCTATCCATGGCCATTCTCAAGCCCCAACCGAAACAGTTATGTTTGGTGTCGAATTCACGGCTTTTGACAAGCTTAAAGGCTGCTGGACCAAGCCACAACCTATCCCGGCACTTGTAAACAACCCTATTCACGGTCACATTTTTCGACCTCGAGCTGATGGAGATTTCCGCCCTTATGAATTCCGCGGTGGGCAAGCAGACTCCAGGGCGATCAGTATCTAGTTAAGTTTCTTTAAGGACTTTGTTGATTATTTGAAGGACAGCAGGCTGGTTGATCTTTTAGGCTTAGAGCTATTGGACGGTCCGGAAGATCAGAAAAGTCTGGATTTTGTCCTCGTTGTCCAAAGCACTGTGATGCTTGACAAGCAAGATGTTATTTCTGATTTTCCTTATCGGACTGCAAGTTGGAAATTTCAAGTAGGAGTTGATGGGATTGTCCCTTGCAAGGGCGGAACAGTTCATGCGGCGAGAAAAGATGGCAAACACCAAGTTTCCATCGACTCCTAGCCACTTCTAACAATTGACACTATTATTGTGGCTCTTCGTGAACAGGGTATTATTGCTTGAATTGTGCTGAAGAAAACGCCTGTGTAGTATAATCGCTCCTTAAAAAATTGCAAATAAAACTAGGCTAAATTTTCACCTCTGTTCTACTAGGGTGATTGTTCGATTTGAGGCCCGTTTACGGGATGATTTAGGAGAGTCACCGTGAAGCGAAAACGAGAAAAGGCGAACAAGTAAGATCTTACTTATACTTCCAAAATCAGGAAAAATGAAATGAAAATGAAAATGAAAATGAAAATGAAAATGAAAATGAAAATGAAAATGAAAATGAAAATGAAAATGAAAATGAAAATGAAAATGAAAATGAAAATGAAAATGAAAATGAAAATGAAAATGAAAATGAAAATGAAAATGAAAATGAAAATGAAATCGATCATTTTGAGCCTTTCAACTTTACGTACTACATAGTCCTAGTTTTAGATATACAAGATAATGATCAAAAACATAATATTCTGACTGATGATCTCAATACCTTGGAAGAAAGGGGACAACTTAAGCATTCCCAGTGTCCAATACAGTTCAGAATAGCAAGTGGCCAGATCGGCAGTAACTTTTGCTGATGAAGAGGGGATATGTCGCACCCAGCGATTACTTGGTACCTGAGATGATGATAGCTGGAGGCGAATACATTAATGAGAAAGATGTTCGGAACCAGTTGATTGCATCAGAATAAGAACCATGGGCATCTTTGTCTCTTTTGACAGAGAAAACGAAATTTCAGCTGCACTCGCATCCCGCTAGTGTAATAAAGGCAAGAGTCAACTTGCACGAACAAATATCTTGACATATATGTGGTAAAAGTAATGACTTGATTGTACGGGGTTTCCTTGGTCACGCAATCCAATATCATTCCGGCAGTGTGGCGATAGTCTAGCATTGTGTGCCGACATTTGTATGAACATGAAATATGTTTGAAGTTTATGTACAATAGACTTTTCGAATCTATTTCTTTGGTTCCTCTTTCTTTTCTTCTGGCTTAGGCGTAGGAAGCTTGAATGTAGTGGGCTTCCTGTCAACACCAGGACCGACTTGCTATTCCATGTTAACAAAGTTTCTCAAATTTCAAAGACAGGGAATGAATAGAGAAAGATGGACATACCTCCCATGCAGCAGTTCCACCCTCAAAGTTTCTGAATGCTTGAGTCAACTCTAATGGTTCAACCACAATACGTTTCTTCTCCTCATCATATCTAATCTCCGTGTATCCCGTCAATGGGAAATCCTTTCGTAATGGATGGCCATCAAATCCATAGTCTGTCATGATGCGACGAAGATCCGGGTGGCCAACAAAGAAAACTCCAAAGAGATCGTAGACTTCGCGCTCATACCAATTGGCACCGTCATAAAGACTGCAGATGCTGGGAACGGGAGAGGCCTCATCAGCGTAGGTCTTAATGCGAATGCGGGAGTTGTGGCGCACAGAGAGAAGGTTGTAGACTATTTCGAAGCGTTGATCGCGGGTGGGGAAGTCAACGGCAGTTATGTCTGAGACTTGAGTGAATTCTGCGGCAGTATTATCTGGGAATGATCAGCATTGTGGGAAATTTGTATATTGAAAAGCTGGCCAAGTGAAATGACACGCTTCCGAAAGAAGATTCTCACATTTGAGGAATGAAAATACAGGAATTACTCCAGATGGAGAAATGTATATAACAAGCTCGTCCTTCCATACTGAGAATTGTTGGATGTATTTTGGAAGGCACCCCATGAGCCATGATCCATATTTGTGCAAATCATCTGCTTTGGCTGCGTATTTGTCTGCAGGATTTACAGGTGGAGCGCGGAGACCTCCTGGAACATCGGGAGATCTCTGAGCATGTCGCATGTTGGGAGTATCGGGGGAGACAACAACTCGAGCATGTTGTGTGGAGGCAAAGCTTCGAATATTGAACTTCTTGGGCTGAACTAAAGAATTCTTTGTGGATCTCATGGCGGAGGCCAAAGCCCGACTATTTGACACCCTCATCGCCATCTTAAAGTTTTGAATCGTGTGAAGTCCAATTGCAGAGATTAGGAATTTATTGACGACGATATTCAGATTGGGGTGCTTGATGATCCTGGGAGATTAGAGATGCTGCCTGAGGTTAAACAATGCACATCCACAACAGCTTCCACGCTTACATAACCGAGTTTCTAGCGTGGACAAACCAAGAGCGAACGAACATGACTTTTACTCTCACTTATGATCCTCGAAGAAGTTCCTACCTCACTCATCTAATTGATGCATTTTTCGACTTCACAACAACACCATTACATTTCATAAATTTCCACATATCGATACCGGGAAATCCCACTCTCACATCTAGAGTATTAATAATTTAAAAATACTCCAAACACTTAATACCACGCTGTATTCCTTTGCGCGCCACAACAGCACTGCGTATCGGAACTAAATTCATACTTTCCTCGAATTTTGTCCTTTTTCTCTATCGCACATCTTAAATCTTAGCAATGGCACCTCAAGATAGCTTCATCGATGAAGATGAGGATACATGGTACGTTTCTATACTTCTTGTTAATTCTATTCGGCTTGGGCGAATGATATCTTTGTGAACACTTTGCTAATCAAATTTCACTAGCCCACTCTGCGTCGAAGAATTCGATCTATCAGACAAGAACTTCCAACCATGCCCTTGTGGTTACCAGGTAACTTAATCTCTATTACCACTGTCTGCTGATTTGATACTAATGGCCATCGCCTTAGATTTGTCAGTTCTGCTTCAACAACATTAAGAACAATATCAACGGCCTCTGTCCTGCCTGTCGAAGACCTTATGACGAAAAAACAATAAAATGGAAAGTTGTTACGCCTGAAGAGTATGTTTCCCGAAAGCTCCAAGAGGTTGACCTGCTGACCGCAAGTTATACAGAGTCGCTCAATTTAAAGCCAATGTCCAAAAGAACGCTAAAAAGAAGGCCGAAATAAGACAAAAAGAAGCCCAAAAGCGAGAAGTTGAAAGTTTAAATCGAAAGCATCTGGCAGGTTTACGAGTTGTCCAGAAAAATCTAGTATATGTTGTCGGCCTAAGTCCAAGCATACGAGAAGACGAACTTCTTCAGACTTTACGCGGCGAAAAGTACTTCGGGCAATATGGGAAGATCATCAAGATCGTGGTCAGTAAATCTAAACAGAACGAGTCAGCCCAAAATGCTGGTTCTCTTGGAGTTTACGTTACGTTTGCTTCGAAATTAGATGCGGAACGTTGCATAACAGCGGTCAACGGTTCTTCAAACGGTGATCGAATTTTACGAGCGCAATTGGGAACTACGAAGTATTGTTCAGCATATCTGCGGAATGAGGTGTGCACAAACAAGCAATGCATGTTCTTACACGAACCAGGTGACAACGACGACAGTTATTCCAGGCAAGATTTGTCGTCCATTAATAGTGTGAACTCCCAACGACCTTTGCCGCCCAAGGCATCTTCATCCCGCACTCAAGCTCAAGCAGCACCACCAATTCAACAGGCACAACCACTCGCTGCCGCTGCACCACCAATGGCACGGGAAGCTAGTAAAGATGGTTCGGACAGTGGAGACGGTCCTGCCCTTCCGTCAACTGCTAACTGGGCCAATCGTGGAGTACAGCAGCAACGCAGCAGAAGAGGAAGCCATGCCACTAGTGCTGCTGCCCCTAGTCCTGCCATCTCAAATGCCATTCCTTCTACAACTGAAGCAGTCGAGGAAGAAACTCCTGAGCTTGTGGAAGACCAAGAGGAATCGTCTGGCGAAGCCAGTCCAATTGAAGCTCCAGAATCCAGCCCTCTTATTGAGGATGTGTCTCATCCTGTGGAGGAGCACCTTGGTGCCGAACTGCTAAGGTCAATCAATTCCGATGTGCTGAGTTGGGACGGCCCTAAGATTCACGAGGACGACCTCGCATCATTCCCACCACTTTTTGATGACCATGGTGGAGAGAAACGGCGTTTAATGCGCGAGCAGCAACAGGAAGAGGAACGTTTACACATGGAGCAGGAATCGCAAGCCGATGTTCAATCTGTACCTGAGCCCGTGGAGGAACAAGAACCGGAAAGTGGTAGTCTGCAATTAGGTGGCGAACCCGAAGATAATGGGCGCGAGATTAATCAACCTCCTGGTTTCCAACGTCGTCAAAGTTCACAACTACCGATCCAACGAGGCTCCACTGCTGGTCCATTTGGCCCAAGCCTTGGGCAACAACAGAACTATCCCCAGAACATCAGCAATTTGAGTTCTATTAATGGACGATCTCTCACTCCATTGCAGCAGTCACAACTTTCAATGTTCAAGTCACCATCAGGTGTTCCATCAAGCTTCATGGACCATAATCCTTCTCCTGGTGGACTTGGAAATCCATTGAATCAGAATACCGCGCTCTTTCAGCAGCAAGGTCACAACAGACAAGCTTCTCGATACAGCTTTGCTACGGATGGTGCTGCTGGACCATCTTCCATTAAGCCTTCTGCCAATAGCAAAATGATGCAACAGCAAGCTTCAATGATGCCTCCTTCAAGTCATCCTCAACAAGGATTTCAGTCTTTTAACTCTTCGATCCCAGCTCCTCCAGGATTGTCAGGTCTGAAATCTAACACTCCTCCAATCGCTGGAGGTATGTTTGGCCAAGGTCATGGATTTGGTAACTCGATGGGTGGCGGTTCGGCATTTGGAAATACCAACAAAGAGAATAGTAATGAGATGCTCCGTGAAATGCTAAGGGGTCGCCCTAGCGCTGGTGGCAACCAGGGTCTTGATACAAGTAAGCGTGAGTACATGTTTCCTAATTTTCTTCATCAACAGTTTCCATCTGCCTCCTCCACTCCAGCTCCTGCTTCAAACCTTCTGGCATCGCTCTACGGTCCTCAGACCGGAGCATTTCATGACTTCGGTCAAAAGCAGAAGAAGAAGGGAAAGAAGCACAGACATGCTAACACTTCCTCCTCTGGGGGAGGTGGCTTAGTCGATCTTGCGGACCCAAGTATCTTGCAGGCGAGAATGCAGCATCAACAACAGAGCAATGCCGGAGTCGGACAGGGACTGTTTGGTGGTCAGGCTCAAGGTGGGTACAACCCCAACCTGATGTATGGCGGAGGCGCAGGATTCCCCGGCAGGTGGTAAATGACCATGTTAATCGGGTGTAATATTTGGCGTGGCTTTTGTAAATAATGATCTCTTTTTCTTTTTCATTTACAAGGACGGCGTTGGCAAAAACCCTTCAAAGGATATTGCATTGTTGCTAGGTATAGCACACATTTGTTTTAGCGGGCATGGCATAGCTCCAAGATGGATGCTTCGGATGCATTGGCGTCACATTGCGTTTGGAAAATGAGTGAGAGGACCTCATGGGATTGCTGCCATCAATTTTTTTCTGCTTCTTTCGTTTGGGTTTGCATCAAGGTCAAAGCAAGTCACGCCAGGAGTTCCATCATCGTCTTCACCGCGGCTACTTTCTCTCATGTACGTTATAGTCTCCGATCCCAGGCCAACAACAGTGGCTGGAAAAATATATCATTCTTACATATTTTGTATATTCGGTAGCCCGCTCTTTCAATTATCGAAGACGATGATGGTTCGTGATGTGACCGTGTCCCTGCCTGTAGTAGCATTGTGTACTGACCGATGTTAATGTTGCTGCAACCTCGCCTGCCCACCTATCATTGCACATGTGCTTATTTGGACCCGACACGCTAACATTGACTTTCTTTAGTAGATCCAACTTTCGATGAAAGCATTTCGCACAATGTCGACGCTTTAGTGTCAGATAGTGTACCAGACGACTTACCCATGAACTACGGCGAAATATCGCGAGATGTGTCGCGGTCGAATACTCCCGCTTTCCCACCTGGTCTACCAAATCCTCATGGACATCCTCCTCCAGCAGTCCGGGAAGACCCAATCGGAAAACCTTCATCCAAGGCACTTCCAATGGTTTCGCCATTCACGCCATTCACGCCATCGAGACAATCTAGCATGTCACACCCTCTTCGTGTTGCTACTCCCCTTGCCATGTCATTGCCCTCAACGCCTTCTCCAGTCAAATCAAAAATTTTGCCCGTCCCTGTTTCTGAAGCACCAGCACCTCAATCACAAGCAAAACAAGAAATTAAAAGTACTGCTACAACGTCTGGTATGTCAAAAGAAATCGTAGCTCAGTCTAGTACAGCCCCTGTAACTCCCGCAACTCCTTTGCTCTCCGCGGCAGGTACTCCTGCAACGCAGAGAAATCTCTCTACCGAAGAGTATCCAGCTCTTGGAGCACAGAAGGAAGCCAGACTTCCCACATCCAAGAAAGTGTCAAAAGCTGTTACCTCATCTTCTAAGGCGCCATCTGCACCCAAAACCTCGAATCCTCAAAAGAGTGCTAAAGCAGGTGAGAAGAAGCCAACACCAGCTGTTTTGACTATTCCCTCTTCCACAAAACATGATCCTAAGCTGTCGAGCGCCATTGAGACACCCGGTAAAAGCACTCCTTCAACAGCAGAATTTCCTTCGTTGCCAGCAACTAAATCTATTCCACTGAGAACCATCAAGGTCACGCAAACACCAAAGGCTGAGGTGGTTCCAACGGGAAGCCCTGCTCCAACTTCTGCCACATCTGTAGCTTCATACCCTGCACATCCTTCTGATACCCCCAGCGAGCAAGATAATGCGTCAATTATGTCGGCGACAGCTTCGAGAGCCAGCTCGCCTGCCCCATCTAGGAATGGACAGCCGCTAACCCAAAAAATTAACACGGCAAAAAGAAATAAGATGAAGGCACAGAAAAAGGAAACTGCTCTCGAAGCTCAAATGGCAGCTGCAGCTGAGTCCAAGCGAACCGAGGGAGAACAACCCCCGGTTTTGGGCAGAAAGATGAAGGTGAAGAAGGAGAAGACGAAGACTAGCAGTGCCGCTAGTGGATCTACGCCGGCGCCTAGTAGACCGGCTTCACCACCCCCTGTGATTACTGCCCAAGAGGAGATCAAAGTTGCGGAACCTGTTACATCGGAGAAGCCTGTTTCGTTGGGCAGCGATAAGGCTGTCAGTAAGAGTGAGGCTAAGGCCAAAAACAAGGCTAAGGCACAACAAGCTACAGCGCTACTCGAGCCACTACGAGCTCCTATTGTTGAAGACGAGGAGGTTGCAGAGAAATTTACACCTCCTACTCCAACTCCAGCCAGCGTTGTTCAAGAGCTTGAAGGTGAGGGAGCACTGAATATGTCGGAACATGTATTTTTGAAAACACCCATTGGTATCAATCATGAGAAGAAGAGGGAGAAGGATGCTGCTGTCCTATTGGAATCAAATCCGAAACTCAATATAAGCCCAGAAGAGCGGGCTGAATTAAATGCGGGAAAACCTGTTCACAAGATTGCTTCAGGATCAATTCGAATCATGCTGACACCAAATGGTGATTGTGTTCGCAATCTCACCGCCGAGGAAGAAGAGCGATTCTTGGAGCTCCAAGCAAGACTTGCAGCCGATGCTGGACCTACTGCGTTTGTCTCCGCAAAGCATAATGTAGGCACCGGGTTCAACCTGGTTGGCGGTCGAGCTGTTCCAAACGGACTCCCTTCGTACTTTCCACACACACCTGCTAGCAATACTGCACCTTTGGATGCGGTAAGCAAGATCCAACGTGATGAAGCTTTGAGCTATATCAATCAATACGTCTTACCATCTCTTTCTAACAACGCCCAGTTAGAAAAAGCACTAAGTGTGAATGCTCTGTCGGGCGACATGCTACAAGGAAGCGAGTTATCCAGCTGGGCACCTTTGAATGGAAACTCTCCCGAAAATCAAGATTTCCCCTACGGCAGTTCGCCTGGCGATGGCAGTAACCTCGACACGGGAATCGCAAATATGACGGCGTCTCTTACAGGAGGGCGGGATCTTCTTGATCGCGGACCTACGTCTCAAAATGTTCAGTTGCTGAATGAAAAGGAATCAGAATCTGCAATGCAGATTGCAAAGAAAGAGACACAGGAGTTGGAAAAGAGACTGCTCGCTGTGTTGAAGAAGAATAGGAAGATGTTGTTAGCATGACATTAATGGACTCTTCTTCTAAAAGATGGTGGTTCATAAGATGATGAAAGGACGCTGGAATGATGACGACACAGCGAAGTGTTTGATTGTTGCTTATGTTTGTCTCTGTATCGATAACTGTATATCTGATATGACGGGGGTGAAATCACGTCATAGTGTATGAGTACCAGTGGTATGGAAATATGGAAATATGGGCACAAAATGTGCAAGTGGTTGCTCATACACCGCAAGCACAGGCTACCTATAGCGTTAGTTGTATGACTTAGAGGGCCGACGGCGATAGCATTGGCAATAGCAACGAGTTCAATGATTTATTAGCATAGCGTAGCATAGCAAAGCATAGCAGAATACCATTTATGACACCTGCACCAAGATTGACATGTGACTGACTGTAACGAGGGTGAGGATTCTTGGCTGGATGTAAGATCTAACAATACTCGGTAATTTGTAATTTCCCCTTCAAGATCAATATCCATCTTCACCTGGTACGTGGAGAGATTAACAATCCCTGTTCGTGAATATTTGGTGGGGCAGAGCCAGAGCCGGGGATCAATGTTGGCGGGGTAGTAAAAAAAAAGGCTGAACCCAAACTGACCTTGTTGGGTTTTGTCCCTCCATACATACGAGTATTTCACTAGATAGTACGCAGATATACGTTGCTATCTATTCTTCAATCTTCTGTTTTCTTGCAATTTACGATAAATACTTCGAAAGATAAGTCAATATGGCGGAATCACTCCCTACCACCTTCTCTGGTATGTAAAAGATTATACCTCTCCGTTGATCGAATCGGTGTCTTTGTTTATTCCCATTCCTTTTCCCCATCCCGTCCAAATCAGCCTGTTTCATCAATTCCTCAGACCAACTAACCACTATTCCATAGACCCCGTCCACATCGCCGTAATCGGCGGCACCGGTCTCCAATCCCTCGAAGGTTTCATCCCCATCGCAACGATCAACCCCCTAACACCCTGGGGATACCCCTCCGCCCCCATCCACATCCTCTCGCACAACAACACACCCATTGCATTCCTCTCCCGCCACGGAACCCACCACGAGCTCGCACCGCACGAAATACCCAACCGCGCCAACATTGCTGCACTCCGCAGCATCGGCGTCCGAACCATCATCGCCTTCAGCGCTGTAGGAAGTCTGCGCGAGGAAATCAAACCCCGCGATTTCGTGGTGCCGGATCAGGTTATCGATCGCACGAAGGGTGTGAGACCATTCACGTTTTTTGAGAAGGGTGTCGTTGGTCATGTCGGTTTTGCGGATCCGTTCGATGAGAGGATTGCAAAGGTGGTGAGGGAGTGTGGACATGCGCTTGAGGGGGAGGGAATCGTGTTGCATGATAAGGGGACGATTATTTGCATGGGTTTGTATTTCCCTTCTCCTTATTCTTCCTTCGTATACAGTGAGCATATACTAACTTCTCTTTCACTAATAGAAGGACCCGCATTTTCCACCCGCGCCGAATCACACATGTACCGCTCCTGGGGTGGCTCCGTCATAAACATGTCTGCGGTCCCGGAAGCCAAACTCGCCCGCGAAGCAGAAATGGTCTACCAAATGATCTGCATGGCGACCGACTACGACTGCTGGCACAGCACGGCGGACGTGGATGTGGAAATGGTGATGGGACACATGCATGCTAATGGACAGAATGCGAAACGACTTGTGGGAGCCGTGTTAGATGCATTGAGTAAGCAGGAACATAGCGAGATGGTGTTAGCGAAACATTGGGAGGGGAAGACGACGGGCATGATTAAATTTATGACCAAGGCGGAGGGGAGGGCTGAGGAGGGAAAGAAGAATGTGGAGTTTTTGTTTCCTGGCGTCTTTGATGCGTAGGGCTGTTAGAAGTATAGAACTAGTTGAGCGAGCTAGATATGTGTGGAGATGCGGGGAATATTGATGCGAGGGGTAGACTGGGGATTAGATACCTATATATATGCGATAGAGTACAAGTGCACTCCATCTCTATTAAAACCCATAAATAAACTGCTTATTCTAACACACTTGCTGCACAACATATTGTTCATCACATCGTCACTTCAAGTATTACTACTCAGAAATCATTCAAGACGTATCCTATGATCAAAACAAATTTATACCGGATTCCTCCCTCCTTCGTTATAATTCCTTCGTTATTCTTCCGAATCCCAATCAACATCATCATATAAACAACCCATTTCACCCATTCAAGCCCAAATTCACAATGGGTAAACCAAGCATATACATATACAAAAGAGGTACCCGGGGTATCTATCAACATCCCAAAAGAAACAACTGCACGATTCCGTCCCATCCAATCTAAAAGGATCCCCCAAAATTCCATAGCTGAGCAATGACAACCCATTAAACCAACATGTACAAAGCCTTGACTGCCTTTTCTGCTGCAGCCACATGCCAGGGCCTTCCATCTCTCACAGGATGCACCACGCCCCTAACCCTCGCTAGAGTAGCTAGTCCCCTGTAATAGCCCAAGATCTCCCTCAACAAAGTATCATGAAAAGTGCGCGGGTTTCCCACAACTTCTGCATGAATAATATTGACTTCCATTACTAAGGGCGGGTCATCGGTATTAGTACCGCTGTTTTTAATAAGATAGCCGGAAATTAGAGCAGGGTTAAATTCGAGGAGGGAATTTGAGTTGTTGAGGCGATGAGAAAGAACGGCGCCCCAGGTTTGATCCGTGATGTCTAGGAGGCGGGAGTTTTGATCTGGTTCATGAGGGACTGCGGGTGCTTCGGAGGGGGTAGGAGCGTTTGTTGTTGGGTCACGAGAGGGTGTGGATGGGTTGTCCGGGGAGAAGATGGACGACTGAGATGCCTGAGGTGTGGAGACGGGGGTCGTGGCGGATTGTGTTGTTGTCATAGATGGGGGTGGTATCCTTGTTTGGGGAGGTAATATCCGTAATGATGGATCTGTCTGTACAGTGACTAGTGTGAGGCTGATTGAAGCGTTGGATTCCGTGGAGGCAAGACCTGTCCAGAAATCAATCTCGGATTGTTCCATCACAGCTGTTTTCGCAATGATAATGCGCCAGTGAACTTTTTTGCTCGAGATCAGATCAAGAGTCGTTTCCCAGATTTCGTTCGCAATGTCTGTAAAGAAAAGAGTGAACGGTTCACTCTTTCGGCCAAGACAATATGAAGCGGTCATTTGTTTTGTACCCCTATTATCTGACCATGCCGCAGTAATCCAACGTTCATCAATACTTTGAGAGTAAGCAATATGAAGACATGAGTTTTCTTGTAACAATGCTGGCGATGGATTGACGTGCAGCTTGAAGTCAATATTTCGGGGAAGGGGTTTCTCTAGAAGAATAGCTGCTGTAGTGGAAGATGATGCAAAATCTACACATCGATCATATACTTCCATTGCTAGACGCGAATATTCCGCTGGCGACGGCACTACTAAGGAGTTAGGAGCAGCCATGAAATCCAAGGGCACAAGCTGCAACACCAGTTCGTTGACAGCTTTCAGCTTCTTTTCGGACAAATACTTTCTATAAAACTTGAACAAATACTTGAAGGCAGCGCAAATATTTACCAGCAGAAACGAATTATCGACAGGGTAGACGAAGTACACGACGATATTTTTCTCTTCCGCCGTCATACTTGAAAGGTTCTTGCTCAATTGCGCCATTATGTCCTTAAGAGAGCTTAGACAAGCTACAGTATTCGTGTTTACAATCCCTTGATTGTATTCATCAAACGGGTAATGTATGAGACCTTTAGATGAATCTGGAAACACAATTCTGTCGTGTCCACCAAACCTGAATGACTCATACGCACCTCGCATTTGGTCGAGGAAAATATCCGCATTCTCGGTGATGCCTACGATATCCGGATGGATGCAAATAGCGTTGACATCTTTGTTTCCTGTGAAAGGCGCCAAGCCTAAATTATCCCAAAAGTGTATCGCGGGAGGCAGAACCGCCAACTTAGAGTCGCCTCTGCGTACTTCAAGCTGCGGGGGTTGAATGGGAAACAGGTTGCTCGATCTCAAAAGGTCTGTGTTCTGTGCTGCCCTCGGATTCGGCATTGGTCGCGGAGGTAGACGCAGGGCCGGGTTTACGACTGGGATTCCTGGAATGGTAAGGTATGACCGCAGGGTACATTTTTTAACATCTTTCAAGCATGACTTGGTAGCTTTCAGGACTGCAGTCATCAATCTTCTAGTAGCAAATATGGCATGGCCATGGGTATCCGCATTTTGACTACTTTGATCATGCACTCTAAGGTTTCCCGACGCAGCCTGGTCTGCAATAATTTGAGCCGTTTCGATCAAATCTTGATCCGATAATCCACTAGGCTGAATGTCAGGTTCGGGGGAGGTGAAATATGGCGTCAGAGACCAGTCTGCAGGGTCAGATTCGAAGATTGGAACCTGTGGCTCAACTATGGATTGAGGAGTTGCCGGAGATGGCTCATATTCTCCGGTGAAAGCGTTGTATGAGCTGATGCTACCTTCGTCAAAGTAGCGTTTTCGTTTCATGCCAAGTCTAACCATAGCCGAAAGCCCTACCGGGAGTGTCTCATCAGAATCAGATGCATCGCTTACACTGTTAAAGTCATTGGCGATGTCTGATTCCACCCCGTTATCTAGCTCAAACTCATATTGCCCACTATCATTGTTCAAGATTTGAGTCAGCACCTCAGACCCCGAATGTTTGTTCTCGCTTTTCCGCCTGTCAAGAGATTCTGGGTTGGTAGGATCGTGCGGATCTGTAAGTTGTGGTTTTAACTCATCCTCGGTATATCGGAATCGCCCGTTAGAGCCGTATTTTTCATCGATCTCAGCCAGGGAATATTCGAATTTGACTTTATCAAACACACTGGATCCGCCAGCTAACTTTGAGGTTCGTTTTACCAGCTGCCCGAATACTGTTTCTTTGTCGAAAGGAGCCATGATGCTTGGCGGTGACCGTGGTGGAGCAGGAAATACCAAGCTGTCACTAGTATTGGACATTTCAATGTCCATATCCTTTGCTGGCATTGCGAGGCTCTGTTTTAAGGCTGGTTGCAGCAAACTGTTTTCCACCGGCTGGGCATCTTCCATAATCGTATCCTGAGATACTGCCTGAGGTACTGACGGCTTACTCAAAATGGGTGACTTTTCAATAATTTTACGTTGATGAGCTGGAGGCAAGTAAGGCGCAACGGGGGAACCTGGCTGAGGGTCCATTTGCATATCATCAGGTTGGTCGAAAAAGTTAAAGTCGGCGTCGGTGATGTCCGTGTCGCCAAACAAGTCCCCTCCCATCTCTCCAAATAGATTATCATTATCATTATCGTTTTCGCTAAAGTTCATGTTAGAATTTGAGCGATGTTTTTGTTCTGAAGTCACCCAATGCTCAGTGTCGATAGTAGTCATGATAGAGGTGCTTGGATTTGCGGCTTCAAGATCATGCGAAAATAAGTGCGCCGGGTTCCCCGGCGTTGTGACTGCACCGTCAAATGATGGTGTTGGCCCCCCGGGATGATGTACGGCGTCAGGAGGCGTAGGGTACATTGCGCCAGCATTGTTGCCCTTTTCCATTAACGCAGTGGAATTGACATTTGCTTGAATATTTTGTGCCTCCCTATCAGCCTGTTCTTTGGCAGCCTCTAGTATCTTTCGCTCCTGCTGTCTATTCAATATAATGCTCGCCTGTTTCTCCGCATTCATGGACCATTCCTCTGCAAAAGTTAGAGGATCAACACTCCCGAAAGAGTCCGCGCTTGAAGGCTGAAGGTCTGCAGAAGAAGTTTTGATGGCTCTGAAGCATAGTAAAGCTGGCCAAGGTACAATAGCGCCATCGTCGGGGAAGGGCGTATCCGCGTACTCAGGGTTTGAAAACACATGATTAGTATTCAGCACCTGGACAAACATCCAACCCCCTTCCTCGATTGAAGTTGGATCAAACCCCTTAGTCGATAACCAATCTAAACACCGGGACTGCCATGACTTTATCGTAGTTCCATGGAAGCGCCAGCTGTGATCTTCGGGATATTTTTGTAAGTCTGAAATAGGCTGAATACTGGGCAGTTGCTCGTCATCATAAAATGAGTAGAATCTCGCAGGATTTCCCCCTGGTGCTAACCATAACTCAGTTCCCTGGGATAAGATTCCTTGGAGCTTTTCTGGATTTGACAGACTTATACTTTGAAGACCAGGAGTAACGTAAGAACAAGCTTTTATCAATAAAGTCCCCAAGGAGGTGAGACTGATGTCTAAGTTAACAAGAGTGACTGCGTTGTCGGAAACTTTGGGTGATTGATAATATGCCATTGATCTCGACGGCGATTGTGAGGGGAAAAGTAACGTCCGTGAATTGAGAGGAATAAATCCATGGTCACTGCAAAGCCTATGTAAAATGGAACCCTGAACGGATGATATAAAGTGCTCTTGAACCTCTTTTAGAAACGGGAGTGCATCGGCTGAACCGGTTGTCGACTTGACACCAGGAGATGACGCTGCCGGATCAAATATATTCTGGGCTGAGTTCGCTTGCATGGCCCTAGCATTGACACTTTGTGCATTCCGTATTGTATTGTCGAGCGGCGACGGCGAAGATGTGCTAGTCGGGGTGTTTAAGCTAGTGGCCATTATAGACTTGTTCGGGGCCAGATTGGAAGGCTCATACACCCCTTTGTCTTTCTTCAATAATTCGACACCATGCACAGCGGGAAGATTGACCTGGCTTAGCAATTCGTCCCCTTCCAGAGGTTTATTTGGGGAATTCGGACTTGGCTGAAAGACCCATATTCCCTCTCGCTTTGTGTCGTAATATACCAGGGCGCCATGTCTCCTCCATGCGGTTTCAACATCTTGTAAATGTTTTTTTGTAGTTGTAAAGGAAGGTGTTTGCGACTGGGCTTCAAAATATTCGTAGGCTATTGATGCAAAGTTGTTCTGGGTAGATATAATTAGCTACTCGGTTTTTCGAGTTCAACCAAGTAATATGACTTACACACGACAATACATTGGTGAGTTGATCGCCGAGATCCATATCGTAACAGGTCGTAATTCATAAAATGGACATCCAGAACAACCGATGGAATGCGCCGATCCCCCCCTCCTCCACAACAAGCTAAATCCCCCCTTTAAACACCCCAAATGATGCCGGGTATGTATTCAAGTAAGTTTGATGAGGATGTTTCCAAGTTAAATCGGTATATTGTAGTTGTATGAGTCGGGGATCTTGAGCTGGACTCGCAGGGCTCCATCTCAAAACGAATGTTGTCGGCTGTCGCAGTGGCTGGCTTGTTCAGCAGGGTGCGACTAAATGTTGTAACGAGGTAAAAAAGCAATCAAAGGACAAGCATAGAACAGAACGGTAGGAGAATTGAATATGCTAAAAGCATTGAGACGATATATTGCAATCATCCAACTTCTTAAGAATGCTGCTGGACTGGTACACCACACCACATCTATTAAAAGTACTTTGGGAGAAGCTTTGATAACATGTTCGGACCATGTTAAGTCAAAATTACCGATTACTCGGACTAAGGAAATGCACTACACTGGATCTGCCAATTCGTTCGAACAGGCTAAATTTCATGTTTCACCCTTGTCAAAAAATTGATTATCCGCTGTCGGCCGCCGGCGAAAAGAACCCCCGTGGCCGAACGATAAGAAAATAATTTTATTCTGAAGCCTTTTGAATGCGACATCCTTCACAATATGGCAAACTAGCCAGTATTTTATTGAAATAACTTCTTTTGGCCTATTAGTTGCCATCATGAAGCTCACAAATTCAAGTGAGATACCGGTATACACCGTCTCAGGTGCTTCTACTGCACGCCCTCTACCTGACTGGCTTGCTCGCAAAAGAAAGCGCAGCTTAAAAAATGATCCAGAATATGCCAATCGTGTCGAGCTTTTACAGGATTTCGAATTCGAAGAAGCCAGCTCCTGTATAAGAGTCAGTGAAGATGGCGAATGGGTTATGAGTACTGGCACATACAAACCGCAGATTCACACACACTATCTTCCCCATTTATCTCTTTCGTTCGCAAGACATACCACAACTCTCAACCACTCCTTCATTCTTCTATCTAATGATTACACAAAATCACTTCATTTACAAACGGATCGCAGACTAGAATTTCATACACAAGGTGGATGTCATTATCAAACTCGACTACCCCGATATGGGCGCGACCTTGTCTACGACCGAGCCTCAACGGAAGCATTAATACCTGCCGTCGGTGTCAATGCAGATGGTCTTGGCGAAGTTTACCGACTGAATCTCGAGATAGGACGCTATATGAAACCATACCAAATCGAAGTTGGTGGTGATGACCTTACAACCTCTGGTGGCGGTGCTTTGCAAGGGGGTATTAATACCGGTAGTGTCAATTGTGCAGCAATTGCCGAGGAAAGTCATAACCTTATGGCTTTTGGAACGTCAATTGGTACGGTAGAGTTTTGGGATTCAAGATCCAAAGCAAGAGTAGGGATTCTCGGTGCTCGAAAAGGGCAAGTTACCGCGCTTGATTTCGACAGGTCAGGTATTTCAATTGCGACGGGATCCTCTGAGGGAATTGTCCAACTGTATGATCTTCGACGACCTGTGCCAATATTGACTAAAGACCAGGGGTATGGTTTTCCAATTAAGACCTTGATGCATATGACTACATCTTCACAGGAGAAGAAAATTCTGTCCGCAGACAAACGAATCATCAAATTGTGGGACGAGATGGACGGCAGAGCCTGGACTTCAGTTGAACCAGCGGTCGATATAAACTCAGTGGCTTGGTGCAAGAACAGTGGCATGCTTCTCACAGCCAATGAAGGCAAGCAACAACATGCCTTTTTCATTCCACAATTGGGTCCTGCGCCGAAATGGTGTTCATTCTTGGATAATATGGTTGAAGAAATGGCAGAGGAAGCACCGAGTGAAACTTACGATAATTACAAGTTCTTGGAAATACCAGAACTCAAGGCGCTCAACCTAGGTCATCTCGTGGGAACCACCAACCTTTTACGACCATACATGCACGGTTACTTTGTAGCTAATAAGCTCTATGAGCAAGCCAAACTAATTGCAAATCCTTACGTCTTCGAAGACGAGAGAAACAAACGAGTTAAGGAGAAGATCGAGAAAGAGAGGGCTAGTCGAATCAGAGGTGGCAAAAAAGTCAAGGTCAATCAAAACCTGGTTGACAAAGTACTCAAGAGACAGGAACGCAGGGAGAAGGTTGATGAAACTGCTGGAGTCTTGGGTGACTCACGTTTCGGCAAGCTTTTCGAGGACGAAGACTTCGCTGTTGACGAGCGTAGCAGAGAGTTCCGGGCTCTTAACCCTAGTACCAAGGTTGGTGGTGGTGAAGAGACAAAACAACGCAAGGTCGATAGTGAGGACGAATCAAGCGACGATGAGGAAGATGAGATCATTTCGAAGCCGAAGCCAGCTCCGGAGATGCGTATCTCTTCCTCGTCTTACAAGAAATCCGGACATCAACGTAAAGATAATGCTCTGGGAGCTCGTAAGCAAGGCACTGGTCGAGTTAGTAAAAACAGGGGTGATGTTGTTGGCGAGCGTTCAATCACATTCGCTCCTGCTAGCAAGAAGGATAAAGAGAAGACCGAGGCCAAGCCTGCAAACAGCAGAAGTAGACGGGAAGATGCAAGACGAAGCGCCAGTGGGAATGTTTTCAGAAGATTGTAATTGTCCGAAGATTAAGACTTCATGATACCCCTTTCATAATACAAAATCTTCAAACCCCAGGAATTCGGATACCTGCAAACTATGACCCAACAGAAACAAATACCATTATTCGCAGAACGACGAGACGATCCATACATTTTATCCTTTTCATATCATTCATCCCATGGGTATCAAACATTGAAACATCAGAACACAAAACAAAAGCCGTCCCGGCAGCCATCATCACCTATCATCTATCACTCCTCGTTCTCCTCGCCCACTTCGATTTTGGCGCTTCCGACAACTCGAATTCCATCGTCTTTCCTTCCCCTTTCTCGACATCGTTCACACTCACAAATGTCTTCGATATTTTTGGCGTGGGCGGCACTTCGTCAATTCTCTCCAACCCGCGATTACTAGGTCTCTTAAGCGCATCCTTGCCGAATGTAGCTCTTCTGGGTGTTAATGCAACAGCTACTTTGCGAGCTGACGCACGGAGTTTCTTGCGCACTTCCCAGGAACGCTTTTTGGCTAGATAGAAGAGTGTTGCGGAGATTACTGTTTGAGGTGTTAGCTTGCTGGGTTTCTTTTAGGGGATCAGGAGTAGGGAAGAAAGGATTCATACTTCCAAAAATACACACGCCAACGATGGCAACAATAATCGCAATCAAAGCTCCCGTCGACAACTGTACGCCCCCACTCGAAGTCCCTGATGCTCCCGCATCACTATCAACACCACTGCTTCCAGCGGAACTTGCGGCATCTCCTGCGGAAGGGTCATTGGGGGCGGAAGGTTCTGAGGTAGCGAGCGCGGAGAAAAATGATGCGACGGAGCTGGAGGACATGGCCGGAGTGAGTGATATAGAGGTTATAGGGGATGGTGTTTGTGTTGCTGATGATTGGGGAGAATCTGTACTTGATATTGACGTGGAGACGTGACTTGAGGTAGAAGTAACAAAAGAACTTTGTGCAGAAATTCTACCCAAAAGCAAAAAGAGGAACAAAAAAGTAAAGGAAACTCGAAGATTGAAAATGTCCTTCATAATGAAATAAAATAATCCTTGAATCAATTTCCAAATGTGAAAACGCTAGACCCCTCCCTACTGAAGATTTGGAAAAACCAATAATACTCAAGTATGAATGGAGGAGGGGGAAAAATTAATGAAACTCCTGACGCCGTGATAGTGATAGTGGCATACAGAAATGATACAAAAGCCAAAAAAACGACAAATCAAATAGTCAATGAAGAGAGATGAATGGTGTGATGAGATAATGGGCGGGATGAGAATGTGGAATTTAGGATCATTTATCTACTAGGTATTGTGGTAGGTTATTGTATATCTTTTTCCATTTCTAGGTGGGTGTGTAGATTAATGGATGGATGGATGGATGGATGGATGGATGGATGGATGTATGATAAGCGCTTTTGAGTACTCGAGTACTTGCTTTGCTTGTAAGGTAAGGTAAGATTACTACGGATGGAGGTATCAATCAATCAGTATCATTCATTCATTGGTGTGGTTGGTCGCTGAATGGATGTAAGATGTGCATAGATATTTTTATTTTCGGGTTTCGATATGGGTATTGGATATGGGTATTGGATAAATAGAGTTTGGGGTTCACTGCATGGAGGTTTTCTTCTGCGGTTTGATTTGTTGGGAGGGAGATTTAAGCGCTTGTTTTTTTTGGCGCTAGGGGGGTTTGGAACCTATGGGTGGAGGGGTGGGTTGATTATGTATGTATTAGGTGTTATGTATGTATGTATGAGTGAGTGATTGCCGAGATATTTTTGCGGGAGTGAGAAGGAGATGGGTGGATGGTTTGGGAGTGGCTGTGATGATGAAGTAGATACTCGGTACATAGGTAGGTGAGACGGTAGAGGTTGGTAATTCGATGAGGGGGCGTATGCGGATTGGTCGTGACGTGACGTTTTGGGATTTGACATGTAATCCTATGCAGTCTGTGTGTGGCGTTCAATCGGGTGTGTTACCGATGCTAGATATGGCTCGGGAGGAACTGGAGAAAATATCAATGTATGAATTGAATGCACGCAATATAAGCTTGGTAAGATATTTTTACATCCATTTGCTTGCATATATTTTACAGCATACATACAATATTCAATTACTCCGCAAGATGTGCAACATTAGGGATCCAGGTGTTATTGATTGGATACAGATTCAATATAATAAATCATTGGGTCGAGCTGGGAAGTTATTTTTATAGTAGATGCGTTCCGGCTGTTGAGGTTCCCGTAAGGGCCTTCTCGGATACTGTAAGTGGTGGTATTGTGGTTGGATGTTGAGACAGGCGTCGAGGAGGGTTTTTGTGTTCGGGTCGTTTTGTATTGTATCCCTCGATGGACATAACATTTGAGGTACGTTTCGTTGTGTTTGGACGTTTGGACTGGCGAAGTGATGAGTTTCTTCAAACGGATTTAACCTTACATGTTACTGTTTCGTGGAGTGTTTGAAGAGTTTTTGGTAGATACATATAATGTTCACATTCATGACCACTGACTCTAGCAGGAGATAGACTTGGATCTTAAAATAGGTCTGAAAATCGGCCGGGACTGATGGCTTGCAGGCGACAGTCAATAATTTAATGTTCAAGGAGGGCATAGTAATGCATTGTTCATCTATTTTCGAGCGTTGGTAATGTCTGGCTGGAAGATTCTGTCTTAGGCATCTTTTTATATTAACTGATGTCAACTAATGAGTGAGTATCATCGATTGCAAGCACCCCTATCTATTAGGTGCTATCTACCAGGTAGGGTCTGCATGTCAATTTATCTCGAAGTCGAGAAATTTGATGATCACGCGGTTATCACGTGCCTTGAACTCGGGTCGAAAGTATATCTTCATTTATGATGGGGACGTCAAAAGAAATGAAGAGCCATTCTTTAGAATTAGCTATTTCAAGAGTGATGTGTTCATGATGCTGTGTGTTCACTATATCCAATTCATGGGTGGGGTCCAACAATGACTGCGTTTGACTGGTGCAGCCGAATGTCCATAGGAAAGGAAGGAACGAAGATGCTCCTGCCTTCACGGTCAAACTGGCACATCTTTTGCCTAAAGTTTTCTCTACCCCACATTTGTCTCCCCATTCTCTAATCTCATCTTACAAACCTCACTAAATCCTCTCTTCATCTTCGCACAATTTCATTCCGTTCATCTAGTCCGCTATACACTTGAAATTTCATACTTCATATCCTCATCATTTCCATTTAGAATATACATCAAAGCCTCGCGTTCCAGCAAACAAACGAACGAAGGTGAATTGGGAAGATTGTTCGCCCTTCTGTCTGAACATTCCCACCCGGTTCTACAAAAGTCCCAATGACTCGGTCATTCTTTTGCATGGTCGTCACTTTTGGTGAATAAATAGTCTTTTGTCTCTTTCCAGGTAGGAAATAATTACCTCAAAAGTCTTTTAATACTTATGCATATTTTAGCGTTCATCCTCCTCGAGATGGCTGTGAACCCGGAAGAGCAGGAGAGTCAGATCGTGGCTCCGCTACATTCTCCTCCCCCGGAACAAATTTATCTTGACGAGGCATTTCCGGGCGGTGCGGATGGCTATCATAATGAAGACAATGAACAACACTTCGTTGCTGATGACGAAGAAATGGATAACACTGATGCTGAGGCGGATGGAATGGATTTGGATTCACAACCGGTTCCCCAGCAAGCCAGCAACAAATCTTTCGTCGAGGAAACTCAATTTGCAGACATTGAGAAAGATACCCAAGCAACAGGTCATCAAGAGGAGTTTTTTGAAAAGGAGATTCAAAATGCTGATTTTAGTTCTCGATCCTTTGTTGAAGAGACACAATATGTAGGTATTGAGATAGATACACAAGCTACCGAAGATACTCCTCAATTTCCTGGTTCAGATCCATCATTTCAGAGACAAGATATCCTTGAAAATGATGAACCATCCACTAAAGCCGTCCATCATACCAATATGTCGCCACCAAAATTCATATTAAAACCCAAAGTTCCAGAGGAAGCTCCTTTCAAATTTGGTATTCCAGCACATGCGAGAAGAAATCGGGAGCCGACAGTTCAAAATCTATCCACGTCAAAGGTTGCATCTCAACCGGAGAAAGTCTTATTACCCGGAGGTTAGTTGTATCTCAAGGAACTATTAAGTTGCAGTATAATAATATTATACTGATGTAATGCCAGCCACTCTCATGCACGATTCTCGCGGTGAATCTTCAACAAAACCCTTACAGTCTACACAAAAAGCACTCTTCACAGATCATGAAACTACTGCTACTCATTCTGTTTCCGATAGTTGTACTGCTGTATCTGTCAAGTCATTTATTGAGAAGGAAGCAATCCGTGCTGCTGAAAATATGGCATTGGTCGAGCAGGTATCCGATGGCCGCAATTCACCTTTACTGAATTCGGTTGAACCTCCGAGAGATACCCTCCTAACGACTTGTAACGGTTCTAGAAACCAAGAAATGCCTCATCGTGCTGGCTCGTCTACCAAGACTCAGGTACCAGAGAGAGAAGTGGGATCAGTTATCCGGAACAATTCTGCGGCTTCTCCACCTCAAATACCTAATAAATGCTTGGTGGATCCATCGCTCCAGACGAAAAAAGGTATGGCAGGCCCTCATAATATCTTCTCGCAATCTGCAAGTGGCATTGGTTTATCAAAGGATGAGAACACTTTTGATAAACCAAATAAATTGTCGGCACTAAGAGCTTCCCACAATCAACAATCTAAGCCAGACGGGCCACCTTTAACTCTGCAAAGCACTGTTACACCAGCACATATTCCACAACGTCCCAGAATGAGACAGAAGTCATCGAATCAGTAAGTGCATTCTTGTTCTTGTCAAGCTTATCATCTGACTTTAGCAGATTGAATCGTGTCAGTGTCAAGACCAAATTCCATGTTCAAAATATGGTTAAGAAAGCTCCATTTCCAGAAGCATCTTCGGATGAACCAAAATTGCGAGTACATCGATATATGGCAACTAAAACTCAAGTACCAGCGTCACAATCGAGGACACAGCCTCAACATTCAGAATCTAGATCAACCGAGGAAGGATCGTCAACTCGGATTGAAGCAGCTGTAGAATCAGAGTCCAGGAGATTAACTGCCAGTATCAATCCGATGCAAAGCGCTCAGCTAGGATCAAAACCCCAGCCAATTACAAGTGATATGTCTGTTTCACCTTCTCGAGTTCAAGAATCCAATTTTACCATGGGAGATTCGACCATGAGGTCTGCGGTATATGAGGAGAACCAGCCAGTAGAAACCTTTAGACAACCTCGTCAATCTATTCCAATCTCCGAATTCCAACCAAGCCATTCTGTTGCACACACTGGCTGTCATGAGTCAATGCATCCACATCCTTCCCGCTTCGTGTCACAAGCAAACATATCTCGACCTCACTCACGACAAGATTCATCTCGACCCCTAGCGGCGACGCGAACTCAAACCGGACATCAGATTCAACAAAGATACATGAATAGACCGGTGAAATCACATGATCTTGAACCTCAAGGTATATCTGAGGCGTCACCGAGCCACATTGGTCGGACCAAAGTCGCTAAAGCAACAGCTGTGCCATCTCAAGGTGAAAGTTATCAAATCGGAGACCATATCAGCAGCCGATCAGAGAAACCTGCACTAGATTTTGATGCTCTGCATCACGTTGTTATGGAGTGTCAAAGACAACAAGAAGTTATCCAAAGTCAAGTGAATTCCATTTCAGATCTCAATATCAAATTGCAAGATGCGGAAGCCCAAGTGCGAGATACACGTGTAATCAATGAAGAACTGGAGGTGGAAAAGGATGAATTGTCAAAGAGAGTCCAGAGATTAAAGGATCTATCCAATAGATACAGACAACATATTAATGAAGTTGTCGTTTGCCAGAAGTCTCTCAAGCAAGATTCAAAAGAGATGAAGAAATCGGTAGCAAATTTAGAATTGGGCTCCACAAAAGAATCTGAGGATAGACAAGCTCAGATTAACAGGATCACGGAGGTGTTGGAGGAAATAAAGCAGATTCGAGGAGACAAAACCCAACAGGAGTTGAGGGATGCCAAGTTCAAAGCTTTGGGTGAAAAGATCGATGCACTTCAGCGAGAAAATGATTGTCTCAAGGCTGTTAATAATTCAAATATAGTGGAGGTCCGAAGAGACAAGACTCGGCAGGACTTGAATGCCAAGTTCAAAGCTTTGGGTGAAAAGATTGATTTACTTCAGCGTGAAAATGCTCGTCTCAAGGCTCTTGATGATTCAAATATGGTGGAACTCCAACAAGAACGTTTACGCATCGAGGTACTTGAAAAACAAGTCAGTAATAGTGGCCTTGATCGTCACAAAGAATTAATGGAGATTCTCCAAAAGCCTCAAGTCGACACCCTTGGAGAACTTACTAAAGAGGATGGGATTCTTTCCAAAGTTTTGAGCTCCAGTGAAGGAGTTCAAGGGAAGTTTAACGAAATCTCGAAGACAATTATAAGTTCTCTCAATCAGACATCGGAGTGGCAACAAACTCTGACCAAGATTCTCGAGGACTTTTACACTGGAATTCAGACGAGGCTGAATGACAACGGTAGTAAGGACACCAATTTCCAGGAGTCCACCGTCAAACTCTTTGATGATCTTAGAGAATATCTTAATCAAATCAATGGTGATCTGAATGAAAAGATCAAACTCAGTGAGCAGCTCAATGTGCTCCGAGATAGCAATGCTACTTTGAAAGCAAATTTGAACTCCAAGGACGCAGTTTTGGAGAATCATATCGCCCGGATGCATGAGTTAACCCAAGAGCTCGCAGACGTTCGTTTACAGTTAATAAATAAAGCTGAACAGCTGGCAATCTCAAATGCACAACCAAGGGAGGATCCGGAATTGAAGAAAAAGGTCGATGACTTGGTCACGGAGATATCCAGATTACAAAAACTGCTCAGCACTGCAAACGATGGTAAGAGCCAAGCTGAGAATAGTGCCCAAATTCACCAAGCAACAATTACTTCGACTCAAAATCAATTACGCGAGAAAGAGGATAAGTTGCGAAACGCCAAGTCTACCATCGAAAAAATGGAAGGAAATAATCAAAAGCTCCAAATTGAGTGTAGATCAGCCATGGAGAGGGTTCGGCAGGAAACTACACAGCTTGCCTTGTCTCAAAAGAAGGATCTAGTAGCCCAGCATGACTCCTTAGTCAATGATCTTAAGCATAAGCAAGCGGAAACCGAGAAAAAGCTACATGTAACGGTTGAGAAATCAAAAAAATCTCAATGGACCATTGATGAGCACACCAAGACAATCAACAGACTTAAGTCGGAGATAGCTACTTACAAGGACCAGGTGTTACAGCAAAAGCTTCAACTTCAAAGCTTGGAGGAAAGTTCCATTTCTGCTTCCCAACTTCAAAAATACAATCAAGAGATATTATCAATTCGCCAAGAGCAAGAAAATCAGCGTGCATCGTCAAACGCTTGTCGAGACGAGTATCTTAGGATTAATGGTGAAATCGAGGGTGCTCAGAAACGTCTTCGTGATATGAATGAAGCAAATGAGCTTCTAATGACAGAGAATGGTCGGTTACGAAAGCGTTTAGAGGATGCCAGCACGGTGACTGAGGAGATTGTTGGAGGTCCCAACCGTGTTGATGATGCTCGGCCATCTTCACGTAGGCCTGCTGAGAGAAAATCTATTAATTTCCACAGTCAACCCCACGATAAACTCGTAGGAAGAAACCATTCTGAATTCAAGAATGATGCAGTACTTGCATCATCTTCTTTGCGAACCACGTCATCTGCTTCACGGACCTCATCTTCACGAGCATATGGCGACAACAGCAGCGGAAATTGGACTCCGATCAAACCCTCCACCAACAACGCTTCTCTAGAGACAAGCCCTCTCACCGATTTGGAAGACATCATGCCAAATGTGGAATCCGCGCATAGTCGTGAGGAACTGCAGCAAGTATACAACAAAAATCGCCAAGTAGTGAATGATAAGGTTGATCAAGTGGATAGCGTTCGATCCAAGTACTATCCTCATGGAGAACATACCCTTGGCACTCCGAAGTCCAAGTTCAACAAAGTTGTGATTGCTATTCAAGGGGAATTAGTTAATACACCAAACCAAGCACCTGGACTCATTCCCTCTCTTGCAGAAGAAAATATCCAACGCCGAATGAACAAGCCAACTAAATCAGCTTTGAAGAAGACTGATCATCAGGACTCTTTTATTATTCCAGATGGCCCACAAAGTCAAGTTTATAATCCAATTTTCAAAAAACCAGCGCCAAGAAACAATCGTGGACTCGATACTGGCCTTCATGCAACTCGAGGAACTGGCGCGAGCAGTTACAATCGCATCGCAAGTTCAACTCCGCAGGTGTCTAATTCGAGAGCACCAGAGCCGCGGTATGAACCAACACCAGAGATCAAGCGCAACGCCATTAAAAGAGCAAGGTCAAATTCATCCCTCGCCGCTCAGAACCTACAACCCGCCAAGCCTGCGAAAGCACCCAGAATGTATCACCGCCAACCGTCAAACAAGGCAATTATTCCAGACTCCCAAGATCGATTGTAAGGTGAATTGTTCATGGCTCAGATGGCAATATCACAGGTCAACCATTATTGGGATACCAACTTGCACCTTGAATTACAAATTCGCCATATTCAGATTGGTCATAGCATCTTCGCTACGAAAGTTGACGCAGAATCTCGAAAGTTTTGGACGTACGGAAGGACAACTGAAGTTGTGTTGATCACTTATAATGGCTTTGCATGGCAAGAGAGAGATTTAGCGTTTTGAAGTTGATGTTGATCATTAGCTTTTAATAAAATGTTGTACTATGGAAGGTGGATGAAGGAGACAGGATGAAGAAAAGATGTGGAATTAGTCGATGTTTCTATAATTGTCAGAAAGTGAATTTATTTCGCAAGTTGTTGCTTATATATACCAGTAAGGTAGATCACCAGATATTAGGCTTTATACTTGCTAGATAATCTAGAAATCTAGAATCCGCATCAATAAAGGTGTTATTCATCATTTTGCATTGTGTGAGTCGAAATAAATGGTGATTGTATTCATGATGTTGTCCCATGCGCCGTTCCATGCGTCTGCTCGTGCAGTGCCTAGGTTGTGTGATTTCTATAGGTTTTGTTTAGTTCCTAAAGGCGCATACACCCGTACTAACTCGATTCCATGGTTTATCATGCAATATGAGTATGAATGCAGTAGCCCTAGCCTATCTTCCATTCCTCTTTCCCAGCAGCTTCTTTCGAGAGGAGACTTGAATATTTTCAAAAAAAATAAAAAATAGCATCGTTTCCTCAAATCCATATACCACGATATAACGTTCTCTTGACAACTCCATCGCCTAACCCTTATGCACATCCCTCACTCTATCCTCTATCCTCTGGTATCTTATTTTTCTTTTCTCTTTTCTTTTTTCTCTTTTTCTCCTTTTCCTTTTTCCTTTCTCGCGTCTTTTTCACATCTTAAGCTTCATATTTATTGACTTGCGTGCTTGCGTTTGTGTTCTCTGTGTTTGCGCATCGGATCATATCATATCGTATGGTATCGAGGGATAAATAAATGATGTATATATGTATATGAGCTATTTCATCTATTTCGAACCACCACCTCGTTTTTGCTCGAGAAATAAAACTTTTTTGCGGACTAGATGAAGGGAAAGGGGGGTTGTGGTTAGCTTGGGGTTTTTTGTTGTTTTTAATGAGGGTTGCGTGGTAGCAGAGAGGTGGTGAGGTTTATGGGTTGGATTTGTGGGTTGGATGTTTGGTTTTCGTGATGGGTTTGGAGGCTCGGAGATGCTGGGAAAAGGGAAGGTGGAGGCGGTGGAGATTTGAGAAGGAGATTGAGGTTGGTATTGAGATGCGGACTGAAATTTTGAGGTTGGCGGCAGAGAGAAGCGAATGCTTGGATATTTTGGGACGAGATGTCGTTCGTGCAGTTTGCGCGCTGTTTGAGTGTAGTTTATGAGTTGGATGAGGTGAGGTAAAATGATAGGTAGTTGCTCGTGTATATTGCGCAAATGGTGAAATCCATCTCAATTGCTCTGCGCTTACTTCGACTTTCCTCATTCGACGTAATGTATGCAGATGCTCGCTCAATTCGTAGTCCGCGCACACCTCTCCATTCTCATATTTCCCTTCCTCTTTCTCCCTTCCATCCTCAACCCCAGAATCCCAAATCCAAATCCAAAACCCCCACCTCCCAATCCCTTCCCCCTCCCTTTTCCTCCCAGCAATCTCCAACTCCTCTCACCTCACTCTTAATCCTATCCCTAGAGGAAAATCCCCAAAAAAAAAAAAAAACAAAAAACTCACCAACAGGATCATACTTCAACATACTAAGCGGCCTATGCGCACGCGGTCGAATAAGCGTCTTGTAATATCCCGTTAGAGCCATTGATATGAGGCGGACGGGGATGGTGCGGGATTTGGCTGTGAAAGAGGGGGTGGGGGTTAGCTATTTCTATTTATAAGGGGTATGAGGGGAGGAAGTGAGGGGTGATGATTTTGAGGGTGGAAGGGCAGAATTGTAGAGCGGGGAGGACTGTAATGCGTGAGGTACCTTTTTTCGCCATGTTGATATAGATTTATAGATTGAGATTGAGGGGTGTGTGAGAGGAGCTGGAGGAGCTGGTGCGTGGGAGTAAGAGTGGTGATTGGGAGGGATGGTATGCGATGGTTCTCTCTCTAGGTAGGTACCTAACCCACGACGACTTGGATATAAAATTATTCCGACGCGGATGTGGTGTTTATGCCTCAGGTTTGGAGGTTTGAGGAAATGGGATTTTGGGGTTTATCCGGTGATTTACCGGTGAAGGGATGCGTGGGCACGTGATTGGATGAGTGGGATTGGATGGGATAGAGGATTGCGTGCTTGTGACATTTACGGACTGTTTGGTTTACCGTGGATGGTGTGGGATGGATGGTATGCATCGGATGGATGGAATGGATTTGAATCGTATGTATGTACGAATACGCAGTACGGGATTTGCTTAGCTTGTATATTTTGGGAGAAGCTCAATCCTTTTTTTCCCCTTGGGTAGAGAGAGACAACTCGATAATACCTAGTAGTTACCTAGTTACCAGGTCTCCGAAGTAAAGATGCTGAATCGCGGAGGTTAAAAGTTGTCCCGACTCCTGACTGATGGTTCTAGAGTCGTATGATTTGGATGTGCATGACGTGGATGAAGTGGATTCTTTTGGAATTTTGGAATTTTGGAATTTTGGAATTTTGGAACTTTGGTAAGGTTAACGCTCTGGAGAAGAAGGTTTGGAGGTAAAGAGTCATGTGAATGAATTGGGTGATGTGGTGATGTTCTATCGTTTTTCATTTTTGTCTTTGCTTTTGATTCATGTGAGTTACCCCTGTTTTCATGGTCGATACTAGGCATGATACTGTAGGATGGATAGGGCGTAGTGCCTCGATGATTTAGGATTGTTACAGAATACAGGGCAGATAGGTGAATTGAAATCTTCATTCCATTGATTTGGGTTTTCTTCTCTAACCTCGTTGGGCGGAGAGGGAGATGTTAAAAGTTACAGCTTAAGATCTCAACCTTGCCATCTTGAGTTTCGGAGTTGCAACTCAATGTCGATATCAGAATGCAGAATATTGAATGTTACACAGACCGCAATAGACCCGTACAGAGTGACCAATATAGCATCACGGAGATATCACCATGGTCCAAAAGAGACCATGAACAACAATCTCGACTCGATGCAACCACCAAGCCTTCGAAGCTAAATCGTTTGCGTAATAAGTATTCCTATCTTCCCCAAAGACTAGAATTCACCATCGTGACGGATGCAGTACATACTACATAGTAAATACTACTACCTAGACAGATAGCTATCTTTGGTAAAGGATAAATAAAGTAAGGCCCGATGCATCCTATAAAAAAATATCATCAACACCCATCATTTCCAAAACATGGCAAATGTCAAATTGTTGACGTTTCTCGATCATCGATGGCTTCAATATGCATACCTAGGATTGATCAAATCGATATCGTATTTAGAGTGGGGGATTTTTTGGATTTTTTGGATTTTTTGGATTTTTTGGATTTCTGGACTCGGTACTCGGATAATGGCATGGAGTGGCTTAATGCGTTGGAAGGGATGTGGAAGTAGACGAGGAAGTGGATGGAAAGTTCTCTGCTCCATTTTATTTTTGATTCATGGTGATAGGGTTCGTTCCTGTACGGAGTCGTCGGGTAACACAAACGGACATCATCAAGAACTTATCTTGTCTGAATGCATTGAATCATTACTTTTATATGAATTATATGAATTATATGAATTATATCTATTATATCTATTATATCTATTATATCCATTATATCTATTATATCTTTCTTGAGCTTCATTAATTCTGATGATCACGTCGGCATGATGACCTACCTTACTTATACCCATCACATATACACTTTAGCCTTACTTATCTTAGCACGGGGCAAGCAAGTATCTATGTTTCAAGAGAAAGCACAACAATAAAGCTAATATTCAGATGTCATGACTGATTTGCCGATTGAGGCTCTCCAAAATGATGCGAGTCCGAATCGATGATAAAGCACTTGCACTTGCACTTGCCATGCATGTTAGTCATGATTAGATTAGAGTACATCTCCCTACCATTCTATTCAATGGATGAAGCGTAACAGTAATAATAATCATAATAATCATAATAATCATAATAATCATAATAATAATCATCATCATCATAATAATAATAATCACAGATGAAGAAGATAATCGTACCAACGTCAGCTTGCAATCAATATCAATAGGGAGGTAGGTACATAGCGTCCGTCCGTCAGTCTATAACCTTATGCCTTCTTTCCGGATCATGGAAAGATGTGATTGGCCGATCTTCACTTTCTTTCCTACCGAAACAATTTGTTATGAAGATCGAGAATCCCATCTCTCCCCAACGTTAATTCCCCCCGTTCGTTCCCTTACTCCCAGCCACTTCCAACATCTGCAAACTACATCTCGATGCCTTCTTGAGGAGTGCAGATGGCAAGATCATCGGACCCATACATATGCATTACCCATCATTCACATTCATTGATTCATTCCTGAGCCATTGATGGATGCATTGATGCATTGATGCATTGATGCATTGATCCATTGATCCATTGATTCATTTTTAATTAAGCTCCGGGAGTGAGGTAAGGCAGGGTAGATACTAGATACGAGCGATACTCTCCACGTATTATACTACTTTATACTACTTTAGTATACTTTAGTATACTTTCACCATCAGCTCCCGCTTTAACTACTCATCAGTACCAAGTCTCAACTACCCCAAATATTTATTTCAATTTCACCACCCCCCCAACCCCACTTCGCCCATTTCATCTTTCTGGAACGTTTAAAAAGTATTCCCAGGTGATGCATAGAAAAGAAGAAGAAGAAGCAAAATCATGTCAAGAAGTACAAGGCTTTTTTATGTATCACACACACAATACCTGCTACCTACCTATCATCAAAAGTCATAGTCATACATACCTATCCATTCATCCTTCGGTCAATTACTTATTGCCCAATCATGTTAACTCCTGAACATGAAGAACAGCTCAAGAAGCTTAAAGAGGTGAGGATCTTCTCTGTTACTGTCATCAAACATCTCTTGATATGTTGAAGCTTACAATGTGAAAATAGCTTCAAGCCTTATATGCCGAACATGCAGCTGCGCAAAATCAGCAAGACCAACAAGATGGAATTTCTCGTCCAGAAAGTAGAGATTCTGCTTCTTCCGACCCTATGATCTTTCCTGGCTTGTATTCTCCCAGTGGCTTTGATTTATTGCAAATTCTGGTATGTCTCAATTCCAATCCAAGCTTTGATTGCATTTGCTTTTGAGGCCCTCTCAGACTGCATTGATATTAATGTCGCATAGTATCAAGTTCAACGTCGACCAAATCCTACATATGCCTTGGGAAATATCGATAGCGGAGTAGCTCTGGTTCTATGTGATTCTGCACGTCCACATTGTCCTATCGTTTACTGCAGCGAACCATTTCAGCTTTTAACAGGTTACTCCCAATCGGAAATCATTGGCAAGAATTGCAGATTCCTTCAAAATCCATACGATCCCAACACGTTCGAAATTCTCGGTAATGCTCCTACGACCAAGGGTCTTCAAAATCCTACAAATGATCCAAATTCCATGGCGAAATCAACAATTCGAAAGGCTTTGGAATGTAATTTGGAAGCTCAGGTTACTCTTATTAATTATCGAAAGAATGGAGAGAGATTCCTTAACGTTTTGACAACGGTTCCCGTTAAATGGAGGACAATGGAGGGAGAGGAAAAGAATTACATTGTTGGATTTCAAGCCGTGGCTCCTCCTATGTTTAGAACTCCATTTTCTTGAGGATCTACTGGAGACTTTACACTATTAATCTGGTTGGTCTGCCCAACCAATTTGATGCAACCTTCATTGGACTTGATGTTTACATATCCTCTGATTGGTACTGGCAGGGAGGGAGGAATTCTCGTATTTTCAGACTTTGAGCATAGGTTATTGGATGATACCCCCAATTTCTAACAAGAGATCTTGGGCATTATTAGATGGTCATTCGAGGAGTATAGGAGCAAAGCATTAGGTCTGGAAGGGATAATACATATGGGATGGTACAGCATGGCGCTGGTGGTTCTTTGATTTAGTAGCTTAGGCTAGGTTTAGTCTGGGCTTTTGGAGTTTTGGCTAGGTGTCGTCTGTTGATATGGGATGAGAGGGTTTAAATGATTATGGGGGATGGAGGGAGATGGCGGTGGGGTTAAATGGGAAATCATCATTTGATTTTTACAAGTGAGGATTTTGGTGGATGCGTTTGTATGTGTAATGCGCTGTATGTGAATTGTTATCTGCAGTTGTGAAAGGTGTGTTTGTGATTCTCTGGGGACAAAGTATTGTGTAAGACTTATTCTCTGTTTGATTTCAGATCGTAGAAGTTTATTATTTAACATGATACCAGCGAACACTCAAGTATCCTCATTGTATTCCGTCCTAATGGTATTCCGTCCTAATGGTATTTTTTAATTGTTTTGTTTTGATAAGTGGACGGATGGATGGATAAGATTTTCTTTTTTTTTTCGGAAATGTTAGAATGATAACGGGCAATGGGATTTGAGGGTTATAAGACTTTCTTTTTTAAGTTGGGGAAGGGGAAAGGGATGGGGATGGGGATGGGGATGGGATGGGATGAGGATAGTGAGATTGAGATTGAATGGAATGTTGGATTTGGGTGTAGATGTGGATGAATAAAGTAGTATAAAGTAGAGTAGAATAGAGTAGAGTAGAGTAAAATAAAATAGAAAGGATTAAAGAAGAAGATTTTATATAAATAAGAGATATATAATGTAATAAGATATAAGAATATAAGAATATAAAGAGTGGATGTATAAAAAGAGTGATAAATAAAAGATATAAAATAAAATAGATATATAGATATATAGATTTGAAGATTTGAATTAATGATATATATAAAAATAGAATATAAAAATAAATAAATAAAAATAAATAAATAAATTTTATATTTATAATTTATAATAAGATTTTATATTTGAATTAAATTGAGTTGAGTTAAGTTAAAGAGTATTAAAGTTTGAATATTATATTTAGGAATTGTTGTAAGATTGAAATGTTTTTATTAATTGTGATGATGTGTAAAATATTATAAAATAAAATAATTATAATATATATATTGTAAAAGTAATAGATCGAGATATATATATCCCGATAATATATTATAAGAAGGGAATTGAAAGAGAAAGTTGAATTAAATTATATTATAATATATTATTTATAAAGAAAATAGATTTTATAATAATTTTAAGATTATTATAATATATAGTTTTAAAATAGTATATAACAGATTAATTATTTATAAAATATAAAATCTGTTTTTTTTTAATAATATATATAAAAATATAAGAATATAAAATAAATAAATGATTTAAATTATTTATAATTTAATAATTATATATTTATATTAAAATTTAATTATTTTAATAATTTAATAATTTAATAATTTATTATATTAATAATAAGTCTAGTATTTATCACAATTATAAATCTTATAATAACTATTTTTGTATTTATAAGATATAATTTGATCAATTTAGTATAGAATTAAGATAATATAAAGATTTAATAAATATCAAAATTGTTATTGTTAGATTTATTATAATAACAATTATAGAATTATATAGTTAAGTGATTATATAATATTATTTTCATTAATTTTATTGATTTATATAAGTGTAACGATCTGGTCGAGGTAGCGGCTGTCTGAGATTTTGTATAATTGGTAATTGTAGGTTAAGACTAATAATCATTAGTTATTGTCACAATTCACGGTTTTCTTTATAATAGTATTATTGACGTCGGTGATTTATAGGCCGATTACAGGGGGGATATGATTTAACCGTTGCTTTCGGGGATCCTGATTATCTAAGCCTAGAACCCCAGGATTCCTAGAATAAAGTATTTTAAACAATTATAGTAGAATAGGACAAATGTTCTATCTAATTGATTGTAATAAGATTATCATTTTAAAGGATATTATATTCTAAAGTTATAATTCCTAAAAGGAAAACTTTTGGGATAAATGTTCTAGGAAAGGAAAGGTTTTGGAATATGAGAGGCTTCAGGATCAGTTATATGATGTGTTAGCTTTACTAGTCAATTAGTAGAGTTAGTATTACAAGAATACTAGTTATATTAATTAATTAATATAATTAATATAGGAAAAGAGATTAGTATATAATCAGAATAGTTTTATAGTTTAGGAGTTTTATATTTAATTTAGTTATCAATTAATTTATCTATATTTCAATTGATTTAGTAATATATTTATCTTTGAATAGATAATCAATAATTATTAATTTTAATTTATAATTATCAATTAGATGAAACTTTAAGGTAATTGTTGTTTTAATTAGATTGTTATATTTTGAGTATTGTTATAATTAAGTTATATATAATATAATGATTTTTAATTAGTAGTTTATCGAATTATTTCTATTCAATTCAATCGGGGTCTTTGTTTAGGTTATCGTTATTATGGAATATAAACGAATGATTCAGATATCTATTTCTAATTTATTTTATAGAGATTATAGTAAGTATTAAGCTTTTGTTATATAAATTGATCTTTATTATACTTTTAATGGATAACTTTTTTTGATTTCTATATAAAGAATCTTGTAGTTGATTTTCTTTTTCTGAAAAATTGTATTTAATTGAATTGAATTATTCTTTAATGATTTAATAATCAAGATTATTAATAATCAATTAAATAAAAGTATAAAATCTGAGATTTATTATCTATTCCTTAATTATAAATTGTTCAGATAAGGATTCAATAAAGTATTTAGGAAAGTAGACTCCGATTATATAATTGAAAGAGTATTGTGATAATTTAAATAGATTGAATTAATTATAATTTATATTGTCAAGTTTTAATAATATATTGGGTGTATTATATGGGATAATAATTATTTAAAGTTATAATTCTATAAAGAATTGAAAGATATTATCAAAGATGAGTTAGCGAAAGTTTCAAAATCATTAAACCTTTTCGAATTAATTGAAACATTTATTTTTATTGATAATCGATTTTATAAACAACAAATGAAGAAGAAAGAAATCATTTAGGAAAACAGAAAATTCCAAAAATCTTATTGTTAGAATAGATATCACGATATTAATAATCTAATAGAATTGGATAGTATCGAACGATATTATATGAGGATAAACAATCTAAATGTTAACAAAAAGAAGAAATGTAAAGAGAATAATTTATATTTTATTTATAAGAAAAATGGATATATATCTTAAGATTGTTTTTAAAAGAAGAAACTATTTATTACAAAAAACAAAATTCTCGAAAAACAAGGATCTTAGAAAAAAACATAAGAAAAATAGGATTATTAGAAAAAGATTTATTTCAATCTAATTTTGAACAATTAAAGGAATTGAATATCAATAATTAAAACTCTAGAATCAGTATTGAAAATAATATCGATTATAAAGAAGAACTTTTAAAAAACCTTAAATTGAAAGATAAAAAATCAATTAAGGAATTTAAGGAAGATCAATAATCAATTGAATCCTATCAATTGTTTCAAAAAAATAAGTTATAGTATTTAATTAGTTATTTAGATAAGAAATAGATATAGTATTATTACAAGGAGGAAAAATCTGATTTTATTAAGAAATATAAAATTTATGATTATCTTATTTTATTAATATTTTATATAATAATATATAATGATATTTATTATATAGTATTTAAAGAAAATATTAGGATAAGCAATGTTAGGAGATATATTACGAATATAGATTCTTTATCTTTTAATAAAGTATAGGAATATAGCAAGTGTGATTTGGAAATTGGAGAGGTATAGGAAATCCTATTATAAATCGGGATTCGTTGTATCTGGTGAAGGATTGATAAGAATAACAAAGAAGTGTTAAACCGAAATTATTGTCGAGATTTCTAAACAGAATCAATAAGATTATTGTTTATTATACTTTATCGATTATTGAATATAAACGAATACCAATATAAATAGATAAATCTCTTTATCGGAGAATAAATTGTCGAATCTTTATTATTAGAATTCAATAATATTATAAGAATCGGATAACTAATTGTAGAAATCAAATTAAAGAAATAATAAGTTAATACTTTGGTTGATTTTGGAGTTATAAATATATTTATGGATTTCAATTTTGTAAAAGAGAATAAAATTCTTATGGAATTAAAATAGGATCTTTATCAATTGATATTGTTAGAAGGAAAGAAAGCTGATATTGATAATTGGATATATAAAGAAATCAGTATTATCAAAATGATTATATTAAATAGATATATTAAACGAATCAAAATGGATTTAGTACTATTGGATAGACATATAATCATTCTTGGTATTTTGTAGATTAAGAAATATAATCTAAATATCGATTGAATAAGAGATACTTTAATATTCGATTGTTGTAATTGTAATAGTAAATGATTATATAGTTTGAGGGAACAGATTTCTGAAGAGATCGAATACTATATTATAACAACAATGGATCCTTTATTGGTTGGTAGAATCGATGAAAAAGAAATTCTAATACAATATAAAAGATTTATCAAATTTTTCAAAGATCTATAGGATTTGAGGGCTTTACTAGAATATAAGCTTTAAGATTATAAAATCAATTTCAAAGAAAGATTTATATTCCCTACCAAAAAGTTGAGATTATATAATCCTAATACTATATAGATATAAAAAGAATATAAGATTAAGATTGAAAAGAAAGGATGGATTAGAAAATCCAAATCCTTTTGTATATTCAATATATTATTGGTATTTAAGAAAGATAATCTAAATAATTGATTTTGTAAAGATTATTATTAGATTAATAATGGAATAATCAAAGATGTATATCCAATATCGAAAATCTAAAAGTTAAGGGATAAATTGAATAAAACAATGATTTATACAAAATTGAATTAAAAAAACGTTTTCAATTTGATATAGATAAAAAAGAGTTACAAATAGAAAATAGTCTTTATATTATTATCAGATTTATAAAAATATATAATTATGCTATTCAGTTTAATTAATATATTAATTATATATTAACAATAGAATAATAAGATATTCAAAGAATTCAATTTATTCGTAATTTGTTATTTAAATGATATTCTAATCTTTTTTTAGAAAGAGGAAGAATATAAAG